AGCGACTGCCTTAGGCTCAGGTCATGATCCTGGAGTCCCTGGATTGAGTCCCTGGATCGAGTCCCTGGATCGAGTCCCACATTTTGCTCCCTGCTCGGCGGGGAGTCTGCTTCTCCCTCTGACCCTCCCCCATCTCATGTGCTCTCTCTCATTCTCTCTCTCAAATAAATAAATAAAATCTTTTTAAAAAAATATGCCCAAGGGGAAAAGAAAGGAAGAATTAAAAGAAGTCCGAGAGAATCTGTGGAAATTCTCATGGAGAAAGTGGAGTTTAAATGACAGTCTCCCATTTTGGCTTAGTAGGGTTATTTCATGATGCAATTGCCAAATCAATCGCCTAATGGTTTAGGCAAAAATATTTGTGGTCTTTAGCCACTTTGTGACTCCGCAAATCTGTGCTTATAACTGATTGCAAATGTAGAGCTCTGGCTGGAGTTCTTTTAAAATCTTGACTTATTGTCAAAGCACTAAGCAGTGTTCTGGTAAATCATATGTTTAATTTTAATTCTACTTCAGAAGGCTGAAGTTTTATTGCTGACTTCCTAAACAATCTAGAGCGGTGTAATTAGTTGGGATAGGCTAGGCTGAGGTAACAAAAAGACCCCGAAGTACATAATTTCTCAAACCCAACAGAGTCCACTCTTCACATAATAGTCTGAGAAGGATACCCTGGACAGCAAGCAACATTTCTGTCTGTGGTGACAAGGTCCCAACTCTTTCCATCTTGGGTCTCTGTCATTCTCCATGGCCTCACAGTTGCCTGCCCCCAGACAACAGAAGGGAGAAAAGCAAGTCAAGGGGGAACATGCTCATTACGGCCGTGGCCTGGGGAAGGCACACATCACTTCTGCCAACATTCCGTTGGCCAAAACTGGGTCAGAGAGCCATGCCTAAGCCAAAAGAGTTTGGGAAATGAAGCCTGGCTGTGTGGTGAAGGCAATAGAAAAGGATAAAAAGGTTGCTGGCAAACAGTGAACAATTTCTGCCACAGGCAAGTCAACTCATCTTGTGCCTCTGGGCACCTTCATTTACAAATGGGTAACAATTACTTACATCCTCAGACCAATCTGGAGAGTCTGTGAGTCTGTATACTGAAGCACTTTGTGTTCCACAGAGAAGCACTGTGTATCAGTTGTGAATATACCCCTGCTATGCTAGTGTTAATTTGGAACGTTACATTGGGTTAAGTAACTAAATGATTTAGAACTTTCTACCAAAGAACTCCGTTAGATGCAATAAACAGATGAACTAAATAGTGTGCTGATCCCATGTTCTTTTATTCTAGTTACGTTACTCCACATGGAGCAGCTTTCTTTCTTCCAGGTTGAAAGCATTAGTGTTTCTGTTCCACAACTGATGGACTAAACTAATTCACAAGTCAGAAATGCAGTTCTAGAAAGTATCTAGACCTTTTTAAAATACCTCCATAAAGTCACATTTTAAAATACAGAGGTCTCCGACCTTTCTGGAGAAACTGAAGGAAAGAACTACCATCCTAAGCATCTGGTAAGCACCAGGTAATGGATTGTATAGTAAATCCACAACCGTTTGCCTATCAACCATGTAAAATAAATATCAGTGGTGAAACAGCAGCATGAGGAGAACAAGTTTCACTCGTGTGTCGGCAGTGTAATTTAAGAGTGTGCCAGACAGAATGGTAGCAAGATACGTGATCTACCTGGAAGCCCAAACTAGAAGATGATAATCCAACTCTGCAAATGAATCACCATATGACCTTGGGAAAGTTAGTTAGCTTGGTTTCTCTGCCTAAAAAGGCAAACAGTAAGCAGATACTTCTAGAATACTCTCTAGAGAAAGGGAGAGGAAGGAGAAGAAAAGAGGAGAGACAGAGGGTTGGAGAGAAAATGGACTTGGGAAAAGGTGCCAGACTGAAAATGTCCCCAGTGACTGTTCTGGGCTATACTAAACACAGTATGTTTGCTTCAGGAAGCCTCGAGCCTAAGAATCAAAATATAGGAATACAAGAAAATCAGGCATCATTATTTGTTCAGCACTTAGGAGAAACAAATGTTTTCTTAGATGTGGAGTTGAAACAATCATCCCTTCTCTCGGGTTTATGTGATAAAGAGAATACCCTGACATTCCGATTAATCCAACAAACATGTATTAGGACTTGTCTCTGTGTGATAAAGACAGACATGGGTCCTGCTTCATTGAGCTGATGATACAGACGAAACAGAAGTAAATAAAATAATTACCACTTGTAGATGAGCACTATGAACAACATGAAGAAATGAGCCATGGGGCACCTGGGTGGCTCAGTTGTTAGGTGTCTGCCTTCGGCTCAGGTCATGATCCCAGGGTCCTGGGATCGAGCCCCGCATCGGGCTCCCTGCTCAGCGGGAAGCCTGCTTCTCCCTCTCCCGCTCCCCCTGCTTGTGTTCCCTCTCTGGCTGTCTTTCTCTCTGTCAAATAAATAAAAATCTAAAAAAAAAAAAAAAAAAAAAAAGAAATGAGCCATAGGGATATCCCAGGGATATCAGAGAAGAATGTTCCAGAAAGGGAGATTGACAAGTGCAAAGGCCCTGAGGCAAGACTCATTTGGCACATGTACAGGAATAGCAAGGAGGCCAGTGGGCTGGGGTGGAATCATTGAAAGGGCAATTCATAGAAAGTGGCTATAGGCAGAAAGCTAGCCAAACCAAATACAAGGAAAAATTAGGCTTCAAAGTAAATGAGGAAGAGTTTCAATTCCAAAATATTCACATTCTCTTTATTTTTTTTCAAGATTTTATTTATTTATTTGAGAGAGAGAGAATGAGAGACAGAGAGCATGAGAGGGAGGAGGGTCAGAGGGAGAAGCAGACTTCCTGCCGAGCAGGGAGCCCCATGCGGGAGTCAATCCAGGGACTCCAGGATCATGACCTGAGCCAAAGGCAGTTGCTTAACCAACTGAGCCACCCAAGCACCCCTCACATTCTCTTTAATAGATCTTTTTTTTTTTTTAAGATTTTATTTATTTGACAGAGAGAGACACAGCGAGAGAGGGAACACAAGCAGGGGGAGTGGGAGAGGGAGAAGCAGGCCTTCCGCGGAGCAGGGAGCCCGACGCGGGGCTCGATCCCAGGACCCTGGGATCATGACCTGAGCCCAAGGCAGACGCCCAACGACTGAGCCACCCGGGCGCTCCTCTTTAATAGATCTTGAGAGCCGTACAGAGTACTGCAGTCAACATTAACATGTTTTGGGCCACGCAAACATGCATTTTGAAGCAATTTTCTATTCTGAATATGAAAACTCCCTAAAATAGCTTGTCTTTCACGAGTCTAGCCCTGTTCAATCAAAAGTAATAAATAAAAAGGAAATGTCTTACATTTTAGTAAATCTATGTAAGAAAAAAACTAATGAATAAGTCCTGGGGATGTATCATATATAGCCTGATGACTATAGCTAATAATAGTATTGCGTATTTGAAAGCAGCTGGGAGAGTGGATCTTGAAAATTCTTACCACAAGAAAAAAAATTTTTGTAACTATGTATGGCGATAGAGGTTAGCTGGACTATAGTTTGATCATTTTGCAATATATACAAATATCAAATCATTATACTGTACACCTGAAACTAATACAATGTTATATGTCAACCATACCTTAATAAAATAATAATTTTCAAAAGAAGAAAAACCTACTTTTCTTAGTTTCAGTTGTGTCTTCGATTTTATTCCAAGGGCTCATATTATGTATTCAAAAAATACATAATTTTTTTAATTAGGGTATAGATTTTTAAATATTGGATTGAAAGTAGGTGGAGGGGAGTAAGACTCATTCTCAAGGATGAAGAAAGGTAGCCACGGTGTAGAGGAAAGGACTCTGGGGGAAGGAAGGAGTCTCTGGATTCTAATACTAGGGTCCCCCACCACCCAGACTAGTATGGGACTCTGAGCCAGTGATGTCTCCACCCAGCTTCAATTAAATCATCCATCAAATGAGGATGACCACACCTTCCCTACCTCACCATTAGACTGTAAAATGAAAGAGCGCCCTTGCCTTTCTTCTCTGATGAACTCCTACTCACCCCTGAAGGTTCAATAAATACTTGCTTAATGCACAGCAAATGAATGGCACATTTCCTAATCTGCACTTATGCAAGCTTCTTAGGTGATACTGCAAAGAATCTAAGACATTATATTCTTTCCCTTAACCAACGGTCCTGGGATGTAAAAATCAAAAACAATACAAATATGACGGGTTTTTTTCCCTTTCAAAAATTCGATTCCATTGAGGTTATCTTTTCCACATAAGAAAACGTTCTTTTAACAAGTCGAGTGGTGGTGAACAGAGTTCCCTATAGTCTCCGTGCCTTGTTTCACTCTTTGGCTAGCACCCGGCTCTTAAACATGTGTTAAAATGCTTAACACGTGTTTGCTAAAAGAACGAGCTATCTTTTTAATTTAAACGCTGCACCGCAAACTCACGCCTTCGCGGGCTCCTGCCAAGACTGGATGGAAGGACTTATGCAAGCGTCAGCGCAAGTAAGGAGCAACCGTGGATAGCACAAGACACCCCTGTGCAGTTACAGGAGGCCTAGTTCGGCTTTCTCCAAAACGTTCCTTCAGAAAAAAACCACCCAATTGCTGACGTAGGTGATCTAGTGAGATCGGAGGTCTGGGGTGTGACTTTCGGGGTGCCGCCCCTCCCCGCTTCTCTGCGCTTTCCCCCCACGACCGTGGAGCCCGCACCCGTACAGCGGGCTATTCGTTCTGCGGCCCGGCTTGCACTTGCGCAAGCCGCGGCGGCCCCGCGTCGAGCGTGAGCCCGGAGAAAGCTCGCGGACAGCCTCGATGCCGCCGTCAGGACATTTTTTACCCCGAGGACAGGAAGGGCCTGCGCCCCCGCCTGCCAGCTCGGTCGCCGACGCCAACCCAGACCCTTGAACTTCAGGAACCTGACGCTCCCGGAACCCGGAGCCCGTGGGCGTGGGCGCAGCGGAGCACAATAGCTGTTGTACCGCCCGGCCGCGAGGCCCCGCGGAGAGGCGGAAGTTGAAGGTGCTGACGCAGCTGGGGGAACTTTGCCTCGATGGCACCTTCCTGTCCGCGACTCCGCCCCCGCCGGAGGGGCTCGGCTCGGGAATTCAAGATGGAGTCGCTGAGTAGAGCTGGGCAGGAGATGAGCTTAGCGGCCCTGAAGCAACACGACCCCTACATCACCAGCATCGCAGACCTCACGGGCCAGGTCGCTCTGTACACCTTCTGCCCCAAGGCCAACCAGTGGGTGAGTGCGGCCAGGCCGCTGGGGTCGTCCGCCCGGCCGCCGCCTCTTAAAGGGGCCGTGCGGACTGTCCTGGGTTGGGGGCGATTCGGGAGGCCAGGGCGGCACGGGGGAGGCCAGGGACTGGAGAAGAGACTGGCCGGTCCCTGAAGGGTGTCAGGGGTGCCGGGAATTGGGGAGAGGAGCGAGAGAAGTAGGCTCAGAACGTCTGGGGGGAAAGCCGATAGAGGAGAGGATTGGAGAAGGATCAGTCCCTTGGGGTCGGGTCCGGAGACCTGGGCGATCTGCCTTCTTTGCAGACGTGTTGGGAGGATGAGAACGGTGGGGTCAGAAAGATACCTGAAAGATTGTGTTTGAATCTGTTTGGGTTATTAGATAAACTACATGTACGTAATCTATAAAGTAAACACCCGTCCTCTCCCCTCAACAAGCGCGTAAGAAATAAGAGCCCCCTTCATAGAGGTCACTTGGATTTAAAGCTTGAAATCCAATTAGTTTCCATTCTTGGAAGAGAGGTGGTGGGGATAAGTCTGGCTTTTATCTAACTACACAGTATTTCCAGAGTTTTGGAAAAGACTTCAAGCACTTAGGGAAAGGGCTTCCACGTTAATTGGGTTCCCTTGAAACCTTCGGGAAAGAGACCCTGTAAATGTGTTTCGTACCAGCCGTGCTGCTGGTGATGTCACCTCTGAATCCTCCCTTCCGACTAAGTACTTTTTGGCTTTTTTTGCACGGGAGGGGGTCCGAAAAGTTACGTTGGGTTTGTTCTCTGACTTGTTGGCCCCTGTTTGAGAGTAACATAATTTCCAGCTTTCTAGTAATTGACCCTCCATAATTTACTCATTCAGCTTTAGGCTTTACTTTTGGCAAATAATCCGCAAATGTTTGTTGGATTAAGTTCATAAATGAGTAACGTTCACATTTCAGTAAAAAATGAAATCCTTATACTAACAAAACCCTGAAAGATTATTGTAATATGTCCTTTACGGTATAAAACAGATACGTATATTTAATCAGTAATTTTGTGAAAATCATTTGACGTTTATAAACAATTAATTCAGATGAAGAGAGCTCTCAGAATCCTCTTGCTTTATCTTCTTTCTTTCACCTCCTGGAAGAGAAGGAGGTATGGAAAGCCACAAAGGACAAAATTTTAGATTTTTTTTTTTTTTTTAGTGTAGCTGTTTTAGACATTGCCTTAGTTTGAATTGTTCTGAATAATTTTTATTTGGTCTGCATATAAATTTGTGAGATGTGAATTGCAGATAAATGGTGAAGACTTCGGAGCAGGAATTTAGGACTAACAGACTTTTATTTCTAGTTTTTCACAGACTTTGAATATTGTGGAATTTAAATTGCAGAGTCCTGCCTTAAATATGAAATAGTTCTAATGATCTGTGATCATATAACTGTGAATAGATATAATAATCTGAATTGAAAAATAAGCTGCCATTTTTTGTTCATTTGGATAATGGCACATAGAGCACATAGAGCATAACCAGAATCTTTTGTATCTTTATTTTGCCGTGAGTTGTAACTGCACAGTGTTGTGTTTGAGCAAGTTTTCTTTCACTGTGAGACCGTTGATTGCCAATTTTTTATACTAATTAACATTTGAAAGGCAAGAAAAAGCCTATGAATCTTTAGGAAGGAATATTTTATGATGATACTTAAGGTAGAGCAATACTCTTAATATGATAAATATTTTTTAAACGTTTATATCCCAACAAACCCAATTTGGAATGACTAGCATTTAAAGTTTTACAACAGTTTGTTGATTGCATTAAAATATGTAGGTTCTGGGCGCCTGGGTGGCTTAGCGACTGCCTTCGGCTCAGGTCATGATCCCAGGGTCCTGGGCTTGAGCCCCACATCGGGCTCCCTGCTCTGCGGGAAGTCTGCTTCTCCCTCTCCCATTTCCCCTGCTTATGTTCCCTCTCTCGCTGTGTCTCTCTCTGTCAAATAAATAAATAAAATCTTAAAAAAAAAATAAAAAGTAGGTTCTATCCAAGCTGTGAGCTGCTGTGGTTATTTGGGGTTTTTTAAAACATTGTATGTGTTTAAAACCTAAGTCCACTTGTCACAGCAAACAAAAGATAATATGAGTTGTACTTTTAATCAAGACATTTCATTTTATGCTTAAAATTTTTAATTATTTATATGTCCTACAATAATTACCTTAAGGCAGAGTATAGCTTCAGTTTTCAAGATTCTTCAACAAAGTTCTAAGAATAAAAAACTAATTGTGTTTGACAGTATTTCTTAACAAACCACAAAATTCGCTATTCATAAAAATACACCAAAATCTCCAACGATGAAACAGACTATCCTAGAACATAACGTTTTCTTTCTTTTTTTTCCCTGTACTAACTTTGATAAACTTTAAAAGTGAAGGAATTGCTGTACACAGAAGCTTGGCTTTAAAATTAAAAAATCTGGATGAGACATTTTAGCTTTATAAAGGGAAAGTGGGGCGCCTCGGTGGCTCAGTTGGTTAAGCGTCGAACTCTCGGTTTAGGCTCTGGTTATGATTTCAGGGTTGTGAGAATCTGCTTGAGATTCTCTCCCTCTTCCTCCCCTTCTGCCCTTCCCGCAGGTGTGCGCGCGCTCACTCTCTCTCTGAAATAAATAGTCTTTAGAAACTGGAGGGGGGAGCTAATTCTAAGATTTTCACCCTAAAATTTTAAAAAGAAAAATGCTGCAGATAACAGACGTGTTGCTGGATTGAACATTGTATATACATTAGTATGCAACCAGAGCATAGGAAGGATACAAAAGAAACTGGTAACAGTAGTTTGTGGAGTAAGAGACTTACTTGACCTGTTCTAAAGGGACTAATTTTAAAAATAATTTTATCTTAAACATCAAGTATTACTTCTCCATTAGGACCATTTGGGGTTGGATTATAGGGAGGAAAAACTAATCAACTCATTGTCTATTATAGGAGAAGACTGATATAGAAGGGACCTTATTTGTATATCGAAGGTAAGCTTTAAAAAAATGATACATATGTATTTTTAATCTAATGGTGAACAGTGTTATATAAAGTGGTTCAGCCCTGTTGTCGTTGGAACCTTTCTGCCTGACCTTCTTCATCCATTTCTGGCTGTGAGATCCAAACCAAGTTATGTCCCTTCTTTGAGCCTTTCTGTGATTCAGAATAAACAGAGCTAGAACTTACTTAGGAACTTAGCAAAACTGTCTCAAAATAGAAAACATTTTCTAGTAATGAATGAGTCTAAAATAGATGCCTTCTTCCCTCCCCCTGTATTAAACATATATAAAGAGAGAAAATATAATACATAAACTATATAAAATAATGTAGTTGAAAGGTCAGTCCCTGTATTCTGTACTTACTAAATGAGTCATCTTCTTATGACTCTGGTTCTGTCCCTTTTCTGAACCCCTCCCCACAAAAAAAGTTCTGGATTGTATACAGTGTCTTTAGTAATGTGTCATCTTAGTTTGAGAGTCCTTTAGAAAGCCTGGATTATTCAGTTGCACATTTTTTATTTTCAATTTTTCTGTGAGTTAATTATCTAAAACGTGATTGGTTTGGGAATTGCAGCTTTTGTTTTGTTAGGCAACTTTGTCTCCTAATTTGCAATTGACGGGAAAGGATAGTCATGGAGTTCCTTGGTCTTAGGATCTCCCTTAGGTCTTGCTCTGACTATGGTAGGTTCCTTCCCATGGCTTCTAAGTGTAGAGATTCAGCAGGAATTATTACTCACATCTGGTCCTCCCCACTTTTTTTTTTGTATTATGAGTTATCTTTTAAGGATTGCCTTTCTCCATTGATGGTAATTAACAAAAAGTTGTCAAATATTCCTCTAAATTTTGGGGTGCAACTTTGAGTTCTTGTCTAAAAACACTGATCTTTTTCTTCCTTTATATGTAAGTGCTTTGATATTACATAGTAACTCTAGCAGCTCATCATTCCTCGCCACTTTGTTCCCTATCCTTCATCTTTCTCCTTTAAAAAGGGGGGAGGGGGGGCCTTTACCCTTCACCTGCTTCATTGTTCTTTATTATCTCTATAATAAGCTGTAGAAACTCATCAGTTGTTGTCAGAATCTTGGTATCTATGATATTTGGAAAATATTTTCCTGGCCTCATTGTTACAGTATAGTACATATCCACTGGTTGTAGAAAATACAAAATTTAGTATAATAAATGATTTGGCTTGATTAAATTCATGGAGGCTTACATAGTATTGATCCTAATAAAAGGAATCCAGAGAAACTCTTTGGGAAATGTGAGAACATTTTATGTGCCTTGGATAAAGGTGTGCCACAATGTCAGAATATTGTTTTGCAGAGACCTTAGTGTAGAAGAAGCCTGGATTTGGAGTCTGAAAATCTAAAGCTGAATTCTGGTCCCATTATTTGTGTGATTTTGGGTAAAGGCCTTAATCATTCTGAGTTTATTTCCTAATCTGTAGAGTAGGATTCTAAAATCTCTCCTGTGTACACAGAGAAATGATTGAGAAACTAGAAGTATTATATACATGTGAAGATCATGTACTAAATCACCCTGATATGAGAACCGAGAATCATGTACTGAATCACCCTGATATGAGAACCAAGGATGTTTGTTATCAGGATTCAAGGCATTTTCTCTCTAACTCGGGAGAACTATAGAAAGACTTATTTGGTGAAAGAAAAAAATCATGATTATAATGGTGGACAGTCATTATTAAAACCAAGTCTGTACGTGTTTAAAATAAGTGATATTTTTGTTGAGCAAATGTTTATTAAACATCTACTAGGTGTCTGTCTTGGGATATATCTGAAAAAAATGAGCCAAGACTCCCAGTTTGCATGGAGTTTACATTCTAGTGGAGAAAGACAAATACGAAAAATAAGTAAATGGTATGGAAAAAAAGAGAAGAGAGTTGGAGGTATTAAACTTAAGAGCAGGCTGGGAGCCTGAGAAAGGGTAGTTCTCCACTAAGTGTCATTGAGAAAGTGACATTTGAGGAAAAGCCTGTGAGGGGTAAGATAACTAGATTCTGGGCAGGTGGTCCAGGCAGAGGTCTTTAGGTGGAAGCATACCTGTAGGGAGAGAGTAAGGAGCTCAGTGTGGCTGGAGCAGAAGCAAGGGAAGAGGCACAGGAGGTAAAGGCAAGGAGGGCACCTATCATCAGCCAAGGCCTTGTTGGCCTTAGTAAGGGCATTGGCCTTTACTGTGGGGAACTAAGTCCTTAGAAACTTCTGAAAAGAGGAGGGGTATGATCTGACTTGAATTTTTTGTTTACAATTTTAAGTGCCAACAATATTGTATAATGCGGTAATGTAGTTATTCTTTGAAATGGAAATAAAGAGGGAGATAACATTTCTACAAATTAAACAGTGACTACAGGTGTTTTTCTTCTGTTAAATCTAAGGTCAGCCTCACCTTACCATGGTTTTACCATTGTGAATCGACTGAATATGCACAATCTGGTTGAACCAGTGAATAAAGATTTGGAATTTCAGCTCCATGAACCATTTCTTCTATATAGAAATGCAAGCTGTGAGTATATCTGTTTTATTACGGTTCATATATTTACAATTTAAATTGAGTGACTTTAGTTTCTATCATCACATTATTTTTGGAGTTTCAAGTTACAGTAAAAAATATAGAACGGCTGGGAGGCTCAGTCAGTTAAGCATCTGCCTTCAGCTCAGGTCCTGATCCCAGGGTCCTGGGATGAGTCCCACATCAGGCTCCTTGCTCAGCTGGGACCCTGCTTCCCCCTCTGCCTGCCACTCCCCCTGCTTGTGTGCTCTCTGACAAATAAATAAAATCTTTAAAAATGTATATATAATCTGTACTCAGGTTATAAATGAGTCTCTTAGTAAGATCGAACCTTTTAAATTGGGCTTCTAAAATTGAAACACTCTTATATACAGGAGCTTTTTATATTCTTTTAATTAAATATATCCTTCTATATAATAGCATTACATCATATTCCTGTTGTTTGTTTTACGAAAATAAGCTTCACCCTTTGTTTTTGTTGGACACTGAATTATTGGCTGCCCATGCCCCTGAGCAACAGAACTTAGTTTGAGAGGTACAGGATGGGGACCGATATTTCTGTCCACAAAGAAGTACTATCTTTGCCCTGGTAGTGGTATTTTTCAGTCTGTTTATTGAGTGTCTTCTGGGTACAAGTTCTAAGAGCTACTTTACCTTAATGTTAATGATACAGTAACCTATATGGGGCAGGCAAGCAGTTAAGGGAGCTGAGACTCAGGTGAGTGGCAGCTCCCCAGTTGGAGAGCAAGAATCATAACCCTTTTCTCTGCTCCCTAGTTCCAGGGTCCTTTCAGGCATGTACGGCTCTTGAGAATGGTTGCATGCAGTCCACAAAACTAGAGTGGCCCCTTGAAAAAGTTAAGATATTAATGAAAAAAAAAAAGAAGAAGAAGTAGTTAAGATACTAAAAAGTATCCTCAATCCTGTGTTTCAGTAGGGTGTTGAAGGTATGAGTGTTTGAGGACAGAAGAGAGACTGTTTGTTTGGCACTGACTGTGGGTAGATCAGAACTAGTTATAGTCGTAGAGTGATTGTAACTATCATCCAAGGAGATTGCTGGAGAAATGTTACTTTTCACTTAAAAAGGAAGTTACTACAAAAAATAAAAATAAAAAAAGGAAAAGTTACTATTTGGATTTCACTTGACTAGAAGGTAACTGGTACCAGAGGAATGTCTTTGGTGTAAATATAAAAAGCTTTGGAAATTATGCCTCTTTTAATTCCCTGAATGAGGAATGGCAAGGTCTGTTTCAGAGCCAGAAGCCCCGAATTCTTCTCCACAGCTCACTTTTAAGTATCTAAGTGAGTCTCTTGATTTTTTTTTTTTTAGTGAACTGTTTGTCCAGATAATTCCTTTCTGAGATTTAATTTCTGGGGGCATATTGGAAATGCTTTTTAATACCTGTAAGTTCAGAGGGATTTATTTAAACTAATGTTCACAGTAGAATTACTTCAGATGGCAGTTTTCTTTGTGCTGAAATTCTGTTGAAGGGGAAATTCTGCAGAGGAACACAGTTCCAGGTTTTTTTTAAGGGAAATTGATTTAATTCTACTCTTTACTACCTTGAAACTTAATCTAGCTATTGCTTCTAAGACAAGTTTGATTATTAAAGTAGTCAGGAAAATTATCAGAGGCCCATGGATTCAATTACTATTTAGCATAAACCTGATGTGAATCATAGTATTTCTTTCACAAGCAAAGGTTCCTGTGGAGTTGAAAGTGCAACATAACACAAATATAATTAAATCACGACTAACCAAAATTTAACTAATCAGAGCCTCAGTTATCTGGAAACATTTCTATAGTCCCATGTGTGGAAGAAATGAAAGCAAATTATAAGAAAACAAGCTAATATTAGGTTTCATTTTGTGAGACTCTAGCAAATATCTCGAGTGTAACCTGAGGTCAGCATAAAAGTGTCGATTTTCTGTAACTTTAACCCCACTATACTGTCATAGATTAATTTGTTGTCATGATAAGACCTGAAACCATCAGGAGTGTTTATTATGTTAATCGGAATATTCTTGAGCAGAACAGCACACTAATACATTTTATTTTAGGAAGATTTTCAACAAGGAGTTAAAACAAAGGTTTCCTTAGAACCAAGGTTGTCCAGTTTCCTGGTTAATTGAGACACTGAATCATCTTCTAAGAGGCCAGATAGTTTCTGGTATTGCTAATTTGAAATTCAAGAGCACATCAGTTTGCTTTTACTGTGGGTGTATTAGAAACAGTCTACAAGAGAAGCTTGGGGAAGGTATTTAAAGGAACAGCTGTATCGGGGAGAAGTGACAAGGCAGCATAAAGTGATTCCGGGAGTGTGAAGGCCTCTCTCGAGTATGTGTTTTGTCTACCTAGTCTTAAATGTGGAAAATAGTCTTGTCAGGTCTGCAAGCTAATGAGTTGTTAAGGGATTTGTTCTTTAAACAAAAAGTTAATTAGTGTCTGAGTGTGTATACAGGTAATTATACCTGATTCTGTAACTGCCCTTCTGTTGTTTTCTTGTGGGAAATACCACTAAGACACCTGACCCATTTTGCTCACTGCACCTTCAGATCCAGCTTCTTTCACTCAAATCACTTTTTAGAGTTGATGGAAAATTGAACTATAATTTTTTCTAGTTCTAATTGTTTCATTTGATCTCATTTTTTAGTTTATTTTATACACTATAAGTATATTATTTATTTATACACCTTTCCCCCCGAAGGGAAAGGTAAAATCTTACAGAGAAAATGCTTACACTAGCCAAGGGCTTAGGTTTGGTGATTCTGTTTTTCGGAAGCAGTATATTTCTATACTGATCAAGGGCCTTTGGGCAGCCAGGAGACCCTTATAGGGCTGCAGTGAGCAGGTTGGGAAGACTGCAGATTCTGTAGTTAATTAAGCAAAAGTGTAGTTCCTAACACCTTATTTCTGACTTATATTGAGGAAACAGGAGTCCCAGAGAAGTTAAGAAACTTGCTCAGGAATCACAAAGGTTGTAAGTGACATAGGCAGAATTCAAATCTTCGAAGCCCGTGTTCTTTCTACTAGGCTGCCACAATAAAATTACTTACTTCATCAATCCACATTCTAGCGTGAGGCTGACCCGTACTACTCTGCGATAATGGAAATGCTCTGTATCAGTCCCATCCCAAAGAGCAGCTACATGTGACTGTTGAGCACTCAGAGTGTGGCTAGTGCAACCAAGAAATTTTCTTTTCTTTTTTAGTTTATTTAATTTAATTAGTTTGCATTTTAAGTAGCCATATGTGGCTAGTGGCTACCATATTGGACAACAGAAGTCTATAAAGCATGAACCCCTGCTCACACACTCCCTTTTGTTGTGCCATACCTGAATTGAACAAGCACTAGGGTAGGGGAGCTTTGGATTCGATTTTTAGGCCTCTCATTTAGTCATTCTTTTTTAAAATTTATAAATGATTTCTAGATACGAAAGCTGCAGAAGATATCCCTGAGGGGGGCTTTGCCATGGTAACACTCTTTTGGCATGCAATTTAATTTTCAGAAAAGAATTCTATTCTAGGCTTTGCCATTTTCGGCCTGTAACCTTGGATAAATCACGTAAACCACTGATCTGACCTACTTATCTTAAAAGGGCATCATATACATGAAGGTATTTTGTCAGGCACTTACAAATATAAAATATTACAGACTGTGTCTCCATCGTGGACCCAAGCCAAATTATCTTGGTAGTGAGAGAGTCATGAGGATTTTAATATTATCCAGGTTCTCTTATAACACAGGCTCATAGTGTCCTTCTTCCTGTCCCTTCTGACTAGCACCATGACAAGCTGGAGACTCTGTTTATCTTTATAGATACTATTTTCAGATGTTATAGGGGCCATTACTGGGCAGCCTGAGGTATGATAAGTTGAAAATATATACATGTTAAAAATGAGAAATCTTACAGTGTACAGATTTTTTTTAAACTCTTAACAGCAGCAGTTCTGATCAGTGAGTGGGTCATGGTGTTTATTTTGAGCATATACCGGAATACGTAGCACCCTCCCAGCTAAAACTTTGTATTAATGTAATGATGTTTAATTTGTGGACACCTCTCCCTAAAAAACATTGATGATAGTTTTAATTTTATCTTTGATTTGTTGAAGAAGCAGTTTTTTTGCTGTTTAAACATAGGCATTACTATCAATCTGCTGATCTTCTGTTTCCATTTGTAAAGAAAATCCATTCTACTCACTGCCTTATAAAATCATTCTTGGGAGACTGTGAACTTCTAGGACTTCTATGGCATAGGCACATCAAAGAAAATAATCCTTCAACTCCTGTCCAGCAATGTCATGGCAGGAAATCTTTCTCCTGCGAACATTTAGAAATGCTGTATAAAATACTAAACGCATAGCTTAGCCAAAAAGAGAACAGGGGACATTTCAGTGGGCCAACATCAGAGTGAAGGCTGAAAGTGGAAGTGAGAAGCTTATAAACCAGCGCTGGCTGCCAGCTGTCAGGGGTTCTTAGGTATGGAGCTCTCCTTCATATAAGGGTCCCATGACAATTACATGGAGTCAGGAGACAGGGCCTTGAGCTCTCACGGCTGGAGAGGTTGAGCTGAGACACCCATACATACATACAGCCAGGTCCCCTAATGAGCTCCATATGAATTAATTAGAAAAATATTAGCCCACCAACCGAGGAGAAGGACAAGGCAAGCTTATCTATCTCAGTGTGGGCTCTGGGTAACAGGGAAAGTGTTTCCCCTGAATAATTGTAACCATGAGCTTTCTCATACGGATTTGGAGTTCAGGTTGTACCATTCACTGGGTAAAATTTCTTACGCAGGCCAAAATATTAACATAAAGATTGCTTCTCAGCCGGTGAGTACTCTAGGACACCTGGCAAAAGCAAATGCAAAATCCTTCTGGAGAGACACCCAGATTGCCCAGGGATCTCATCGACAAGCCTCATGGTCCAAAATTACCAAATATACAAGGAAATAATTCACACTTAGTGAAAGGTAGAATACAACAAACAGCAGGATTAGCCAGCCCTTCCCCAAAATTTTAGTTAATGAAATGATCAGATAGAGACTTTAATGGATGTAAATGTCAGGTGTAGATTATTTAAAAAGTGACAGATTTGAAAAATAACAAAGTTTTGAATTTCTAGAAATTAAAATTTTAGTTATTATTGAAATAAACTCTCTACTGGACTCAGCAGTTAATTTGTAACAACAGAAAGGATTGGGGAACTGGAAGAGACGTCTGAGGGAATTACCCAGAATTCATCCAAGAAAGGAAAGGAAATGGAAAATATGGCCAGGAGGATAGAATTGGAAAGTCTAACACATAACAGAGAAGAATTTCAGAAAGATAAAATAGATTTGAGAGAGACTATTTGAAGAGATTATAACTAAGAATTTTCTAGAATATTCAAAAGTCATAAATCTCAGATATAGGCAGTAGAATAAGACACCAGGCATAATAAGTAGAAAGAAATAACACAAAGAGACAGAAGCAACCAAAGGCTACTTGAGATTGATTAGTTACAAAGAGCACCAGTTAGACTGCCAGCATATTTAGTTGCAGCTACTGAGTTTGGAAGACAAAGGAATAAGAGTACTGAGGAAAAAACAACCCATACTTTAGTAATTCAGGAGAACAAAATAAAGACATTTTTCAACAAACACAGAGCTTTTGCCTTTGGCGGCCCCTTGCTGTAGTGCTTCTGAAGCAGCACTGCCTAGTACAGTAGCCACTAGGCACATGTGGCTGTTGAGCTCTTGAAATGCTCCCAAAGCAACTGAATTCTTAATTGTATTTAATTTGGCTCAGAAATAAGAAAATTGTGGGGTGGGGCGCCTGGGGGACTCAGATGGTTAAGCATCTGCCTTCAGCTCAGGTCGTGATGCCAGGGTCCTGGGCTCGAGTCCCGCGTCGGGTTCCTGGCTCTGTGGGGAGCCTGCTTCTCCCTCTCCCTCTCCCTCTCCCCCTGCTCATACTCTCTATCTCTGTGTCTCAAATGAATAAATAAAATCTTTAAAAAATAAAAATTGTGGGGTGCCTGGGTGGCTCAGTCGGTTAAGCAGCCGACTTGATCTCAGCTCGGGTCTTGATCTCAGGGTTCTGAGTTCAAGCTCCGCATTGGACTCCACACTGGGCATGGAGGCTCCTTAAAGGAAAAAAAGAAGAAAATTGAGCACAGAAGAAAGAAATGAACTTTACAAACTAATGAACAAAGTAAAGGAAGTAAATTAAAATAAGCATGGACTATATAAGACAGTGAAATGACTAGTTAAAAAGGTGAAGCAAAAATACTAGACACCAACAGCATCAGGTAAAAGCTCTTCAGACCTAAAGCATCCCACAACTGGGGTGAGAAGAGATAAATTGATTAACCATAGATTTAAATCAATCTGTGTGTGTTCAAATGATTCAGGATAACCACTGCAAAACAAACATAGGGGTCTTTTAAACCAGTACAAACCAGGGTGGGGAAAAAACTGAATGAACACCACGGGAAATAGAAAGCCCAACATAAAATGGCAGGAATAAAGAAGTCAATAACTAGAACAAAATGTTAAGTGTACTAAAATGGCCAGTTAAAAGAGATTCTGGGACTGGATGAAGATACAGAATTTGTGGATAATGTTTTCAAAAAACTTAAAACTCAAAAACCTGGAAAGATTGAAAGTAAAGAGATAGAATGCAGCGTGTCAGGCAACTGTTAACCAAACAAGGCTGCCATAGCTGTTAGTCACACGTGATAGATTTCAGGTGAAAGACATCGGGGTGAAAGTTGCCGCATAATGGTAAGAGGAATGAATTACCTAGAAGATAAAATTATTCCAAACTAGTACATACCTAGTATATGTCAGAAATACATATCAGAAGTTAAAAACTCCAATCATCATGGGAGATTTTAACAGGCCACCTCAGTAAGTGACAGATAAAGCAGATGATTATGAGATATTTAAACAGTATAGTTAAATTTGGTCTAATGAGCATATAAAGAGCCCTGCTTCCAGCAGTTTGAGAATTTGCATTTTTTTCCAAATACATACTAGAATTTTATAAAAATTACCATATGTAGGCCTCCGAGCCCAAGAAGTTAAGAAAAAAGAGAAATCTGGGTTAAGTTGAAGGATAATACAGATGAGTAGCAATTAACTGCAGAACATAGAAATTGCAGTAGAACAACAGAACACAATCAACGACAAAAACTCCCATATGGCCTGATTGATCCAACAACAACAAAAGGGGAGGAGCATAATGGGCAATATTAGGAATAATGTATATATTTTTTATGTATTGCAACTAAATATAGGGAATACACATTTTTTAAAAACAAATCACTATGAAGAACTTTTTGCCTATACATTTAAAACTTAGATTATATATACAGTTTCCGAGGAAAAAAACATAGTATAACAAAACTTCTCCAGGAATAAATATATCTGAATACACTCACAAACAATAAAATGTTGGGTCAGTAGTTTAAAATCTTTCCCATCACATCTAAAGAAAATGCTAAGAGGAATGTCCTATTCAGAAAATGGTATCAGGACAGTTATTCTCCATATAGAGACTGGCCTCTGAAAAAGCAGATGTAGGATCTCTACATTTCTGACTTTATCACAGGACACTTATCTCCACAGGGACTTGTGCAGTGAGGAGATCATGCTTCTGTTATCCACTATTCATTCTTTGAGCAAGCATTTGACAAGCACCTGCTACAAGCAACGTACCTTACTAAGTATGTTTCTCCTAGAAGGTGCTTTCCCTTTGATTTCTACTTCTGTGGGCACCTCGTTATGACTTAATTCTAAAATGCCCCAAGAATATTCTGTAAAGGGTTTTTTTTTTGTTTTTTTTGGGGTGGGCAGCAAAGCAAAGTTGATTGAGCACCGTGTAAAGTGTTAGTACAAAGCTCCCAAAGAGGGTGGGGACCTGAGAGGGTTGCTTCTGTAAAGGGTTCTTTTTTTAAAAAAAAAAAAGATTTTATTTATTTATTTGACAGAGAGAGACACAGTGAGAGAGAGGGAACACAAGCAGGGGGAGTGGGAGAGGGAGAAGCAGGCTTCCTGCCGAGCAGGGAGCCCGATGTGGGGCTCGATCCCAGGACCCTGGGATCATGACCTCAGCCGAAGGCAGACGCTTAATGACTGAGCTACCTAGGCGCCCCTCTGTAAAGGGTTCTGAGCAGGTTTTTTTAATCCAAAATTTGGTACATGAATCAAAAAAGTAAAAGCAAGCAAAACTGGTTTTTCTCTTTGTTACAGGTAGGCAGTCTACATTGTAACTTGGTTAATTGAAAATATTAAAGTAAAGGTTTGTGGTCCCATTAAGCTCTCTAAAGTAAATTCTGGCATTTAATGATTTCCTTTTGCAAAAACTATTTCAGTATTGTCTTTTACATTGTTTTTAAACAAACAGTCTGATTAACTCAGACATACATCTTATTCAGTGATATTTATTGAGCATCTGTCATTTACCAAGTACTCTACCAAGCACTCTACCATTTTGATAAAACTGTTGTGTACTTCTAAAGAATTTTAGTTATCTCTTTAGTCCTGAGGTTCTGTTGTATTTTCTTAGAGAATTATAAGCAGAAGTCATTAAATTATGTTAGAACTTTTAGTGTCAGAACTCTACCTTTCTGGTAAGGGTGAAGATTCTTAATGAAATATGTTACTATATTAATCCCAGTGCTATGAATATTTATTCCTAAAACAGCTCTGTTAATTAATGATAAAAATTATTTAAGATTTGTGATTAGAAAATTATCAGCTGTAAATTTGAATGAATGATTAGGCCAGTACTAGTGAAAATCTGATCCACCAGAGAGACTGGGTGGTATTTACATTGTTGGTTTTTTTTCTTCTCCTGATCATTTTTAGCAGCAACACTGATCCATTAATTAGAAGGAGTATACAGTCTAGATTTTCTTTTCTCAGACCTAACTTTATTCCCTCCTTATACCAATGTGTGATTGTGGTTTTAGCCAAAAAAATAACATTATTTTACTTTATGTGCATGTTAGACTTGGCATTTTTTTTTTTTTTTTTTTTTTTTTTTACTGAAAGAAACAAGGACAATTGTTATGTTTCCTCCATCCAGCACCTTAAGGCATAGATCTCCCAATGAATACCACTTTTCATATTTTCAAATGTTTTCTATAATCCCAAAGTACTTTTGACAAAATGAACAAAGTATGTTGCCCTATAACCTGCTTAACAACAACAAATCACTGTAACAAGCAATTGAAAATAAAAATATAATTACTATTTAATATTTTTAAGAACTTACCTCCAAAAGCCTGTGAGAAGTACCCCTTTGTTTCCGCTTCACTTACAACTTTTCCTTTATATCGGGCATCAGTCTCTTGATAGAGAACATTTTTAATTAAAATTAGATCACTAGAAAAGGCAGGGTGATTCATTTCCATAGTGTTGAAAATGCAGCTGCCAAATGGAAAGTTTTAGTAGAAGAAATACTGTAGTTTTTTTTGTCTCTGCTTGCCCTTTCTCAGTTCAAGGGCAAGACTCAGAACAGTAGAGATGGTAGGTGGCTATTGGCATTTGCACAAATCTTAAGACTTAAAGCACAGTGCAGGAAATGTCCTTGCAAGAGAAGTTTACAATTTGTCAAGTCAAAAAATGTGACTTCTACCTCCAAACTAAAAGAGGAATTTATAAACAATTTTAAAAGCTCCACAGTCCATTCTCTGTGATCTTTGAATTCAGCTCGGTGCTTCTTGACCAGCCTGGAGAAAGACAGTCTTCCACCATCAGCAGCAGCACCACTATGGTTGGTGTGACTCTCTTATCAGGGAAGGAGAAAGGATCTGTGGCAACTGCATTAATCTGGCCTTCTGGACAAAGATAAGGAAAGAGCCTTGCTGTTGCCACGTTAGTAGACTGAAGAGGTAAAAACACCATGAAAACAAAGAGTGACTTAGACTCCCGGACTGACCTGGTGGTGCTGTCAGGTCACAAGTTTCAAATGTCTGTATGGCTTTCTATCTATCGTAGGCCACTGTTGAGTCTTCTAGGAGAGCCTCTAGTGGAGCCTCTACCCAGGTACCTTCTGGTTAACTTTGTTCCCAAGTCCATGAACATTTCCAGATTTCCAAAGGAGATTCTTTCCAGTGTGTCTCCCTAAGTACTGGCTTTTTTCCCCCCTAAAATAGTGTTGTCAGGTAAAAAGCAGTTTTAACTTTTTTGTGCGTATGTGGTGTTATCCTAATTATGAATGTTTTAAAAGTTAACAGTGTATGCACCATTTATCTCTTCTAAATAATTAATGTTTTCTCTTTTGAGAACTCACAAAGGAGAGCAACCATTACTTTATAGCTAAGTGGCAGAAATGTGTTCTTAGTATGTATGTATATAGGTTTTCATCTTGTGTTTACAAAGTGAAGTTCACTGTGGAGGTAAAAATTAAAACAGAGTAGCCACTAGTCCAAGAAGATTTGAAGCTACTCTGGAGTGGGCGGAAGAAACCTTAAGACTGGGCCCTTGGGGTTCAATCCCCTGGAGGATCCAGGCAGCTCTGAGCTACTTAGAGTCACTACTTCAGGCATGCACAGCATTTTTTTTTTTTTTTAAATTAAAAGAAAGGCATGGGATAAGCATTTGCTACCAACTTTTAAAAGTAAGGATATTTTACACACCCACACACCCACGCACACACCCACGGATTTCTAGTTTTCCTTCTTGTGAAGGCCACACAGCACCTGCATCCCTGCAAGCACTGGGAGTCAGCAGGAGCTCTGGGTGGGGCATGTGCACCACAGCCTCTCAGATCCCACTACACCCTGGTTTGGGTGATGCTCGTGGACATTTGCCTTATAGCCCTGGTTTGGATGATCGTTTACTAAAATGGTAGAAAAATATGTAGCAGAGAAGTTAATTAGGGAAAGGAGAGAAAAGAAGGTCCCCCTTTTCCTACACCACTATCTGAACTATTTCCCAAAGCGCTACGTGTAGATTTTGGGGAGCCCACAAGATTCCGTGGAGGCCAGGGACCATGCTTCCCACCCTTTATTGTCCCTTATGATACATAAAAATGATCATTTCTGTGTGGGACGCTGGGATGGATAGACCACTGGGGATGGACAGGTCCAACATTTGGCATACCCATAATCACTTGCAGGACACACCTGGGAGAGGCTCTGCCATAAGGAGTGGTGAGTACTGTGTGGCAGTCATGGCAACCAGCCCTAGCAGCACACGTAAAACCCCGGTGTGACTCTCTGTTTTATTTGGGGTGCCCATTATTTAGGAATAGAAAGTTTGTCATTAGGAATGAACAGTTGTGATATTCTTGGGTTTATTTTCGTAATTTCCCTCCAAAAATTCAATGATCATTTCATGTGTCTGAATCCTATACTAAAACTACAGTGTTAAAAGGGACTGTGGAAGCGGTATTGCCGGTAAATAGTTTCAGACTTGATTTAATTTAGAGAAGGGTAAAGTTTTAAAATAATAAACAGGCGAGCTTGCAGAATAGCAGTTTAAAATGTCCTGGCCTGTGTCTTTTAATCAGTGTTCAATAAATAGACATTGCAATTTAAATTTTAGAAAGTGTACTCTTTCTCTACCATGTTAGTGTTCATTGGTGTTTTAAGCTGTGTGTTTTGGCCAGAATAGATGTGCTGCTGAAGTGACTGAATCACATTTACCAGCCATTTGTGCAGATTCGTGGAGTTTCCTTGCCTGCCTGTTTGCCACCTACCATAATCTCCTATCAGAATCCTAGGTCGGGCAGGCTTTGGCTCCATACCCTTTTTCCTGTATGTGTGTGTTCTACTTTCCACTCCAGAGCCTTTTTCTTCTTTCTCTTTCCAAACCTTTCAGTGTTGACGTGGGGCCATCAGGCTTATTCTTGTCTTAAAGGAAATGATCTGTCCAGGCAGGGGCATTTGCTTTTTCACTAGCCAGGGCAGGTGTTTATATAATCTATTCCATTTTTACATTACTTTTATAATCAGAAGGATTTTCCCTATGTCTAGAATAAATGTTTTTGGCTGTATTCAAAGCACATTTTCTTGTTTTTCTTTCCCGGTGTAGGGCATTTTTGTCAGTCTCATCTTTAGAAATTTTATAACTCTTAACATCATTGCCAAAAAGCTTATATCAAAGCCCCTTTTCTGCTTGGCACCATACTGAGAAAATCTCCAACCTCCTCAAATCCTTTTAGAAAGTAGGTCAGATCTAAATAATAAATGAATCAAAAAGACAACATGTGCATGAGAGTGATTCCCAGCTCTGTTTTTGTGACATTTCACAGCATCTCAAAAAGTCTCAAGGGATTTTACAAAGGCTCCAAATTAATTTGGGTTTTCTTGATCTTCTGTGTGCCATACACCATTCCAGATGAGAAGCAGCGTGAGGTGTAACATCAAATCATATTAGGCTGCTAGATCTTCAAACAGGGCTCTGGGGAAATGGAAAACTCTTGCCCCCCAGCTTTTTAAAAATTCTCAATATTAAATGACCTAATACCTTTAATCTTTGTCAGTCTCGTTTTTCACACTTTCAAAAGATGCCATCATTTAAAAAGCAAAGGAAACATTCAATTTTGGATATTCTTTTCTGAATTTTTGTACTTTTCATGGAAGTACAACCTTAAGGTAATCAAATGCCCTACCACACCACCTAACTCTTCAGTGACTTGCCTGTACAGCACGACTTACTTGGGACAGCTGTTAACAGCCACACTATGTGGTGGGGGTCCAATAACTAAACAGTTTGCTTTCATCTTGAGAGAAGTCATTTACAAATCAGGATGCCATCATTATGTGCACAATAATACTGTATTGTCAAATCCTTAAATCCTCTGTGCTATAGTTAATAAAGGAAAATTATTTCAGGATGTTTCAGCAAATGAATGTGTTGGGCCATAGAGTGGAAGTTCTCTTGAGGGAAGAATACTTGGCTTTGGCTTGAAGACAGGTCCTCCGTGATCTTAGCCATCTGGGAACTTGTCTGTCTTTCCTCACTGGTGACAGTGACAGGCTTAGGGGCAGCTCCCAGGGCCTCCTTGCCAGTTGCATGCACTGAGCATTTGATATGTTGGCAGACAGAGCTGATTCTTGGATGCGTGTCTGAACCTCTACAGGTCTGCTTTTGGCAGAATCGAGTGTGACTCTTATCCTTTACCCATTAAGCTATCGTTATGGCTTCCTTATCTTTATTTCTTCTGCAAACATGCCTTTGTAAGTGTTTGGCTCTTTTTTGGCAGTTTATTTGATAATGTACAAGAGTGGAAGGCATGTGTCTTATTTCTAAATTATAGTGTATTTCTTCAAAGGAAAAGGGGAGGATGTAAGTGAAGTATTGTCAACATAAGTTGACAGCTCTGTTGGGCTTAGTTTGATTATCAGTATGAAATTCTTTCTTAAGAGCTGGATTTGCAACCCCCTATGAAAACATTACAAAATGCCCCTGTTTAGCCCAGAAAATGTTGTGTGTTCTTCTCTGAGCCTGATGTACTTAGTGCGTATCATAAACTTTCTCATCACTGTAAGTTGTAGAGGTGTGTCCATTAGAGGAAAACTGGAATCTTGTATTCAGACTCTTGTGTTTTGTATGTTCTTTAGCCAGAGTTGAAAGAGGCATATTTAAAGAAAGATGGTTGTGTTTAATTGCCATATATGGAGTCTTTTCAGAGCCCAATCTGATTTACTCTATGTAGGAGCAATCCTTAGCTGAAAGGAATAGGAACATAACTAAGACCCTGCAGAAGATAATGTTTAATAAATATCTCCTCCGTAACAAAGCCTCCTCTGTGTTCCTTGTCAAAGGGCTGTCAAAGCTAAATTCAGTCTATTTACTTATACCATGTAAGATATTCCAAAGTTACTTGTTTCTCATTAGACATTGATTCTGTTTGAAATGTTGGTGGTGTTTTGAAGTTCTGTGAATGGAAGAGGGGCTGTGAACCTGGGTCCAAACATGGAAAACTCTTCACAGCAGGCTGAATGACCACTCAGAAAGCAGAAGCCAGCCTGGGTGCCTGGTGGTAGTATGCACAGTCACCTGCAGGACACATAACCAGACGTGGAACCCAACAGTCAAGGACAGTTTTAGTGAAACCGGAGGGTTTCTCCACCAGGCAAGTCCCCTTATGAATAGGGTAGGAAAAAAAATTCACGTTCATCATCTTCGTTCATAAAATGAAGCTATTCACTCACTCTGTATATCGATGCTTTCACTCCCTCTACAATGACAATTGAAAAAATCCAGTTAAACTTTTATTTCCATCAAAAAGGGAACTTTAAAGTTGTGATTGGCCCTGAAGTTTTTTGTAGAGTAAAATGACCTTAATTCAGAGTGAAACAAAATATTTGCCATTAAAATAGCTTTTATTGTACACTGAAAACTTTAAGACATAATGAAAGAAACTGAAGAAAACACAAATAAATGAAAAAATATTCTATGCTCCTGGATTGGAAGAATTAATACTGGTAAAATGTTGTACTACCTAAAGCAATCTACAAATTGAGTACAGTTTGTATCAAAATTGCCATGACATTTTTCACAGAAATAGAACAAACAGTCCTAAAATTTGTATGGAACCACAAAAGAGCCCCTCAAAGCATACTTGAGAAAGGAAAGAAAGCTAGAGGTATCACAATCTCAGATCTCAAGATATACTACAGAGCTTTAGTAGCCAAAACAGTATGGTTACTGGCACAAAAATAGACACATAGATCAATGGAACAGAATAGAGTGCCAAGCAATAAACTCACAGGTATATGGTCAAGTTAATTTACAACAGGGGAGCCAAGAATATACCATAGGGAAGAGACAGTCTCTTCAATAAATGATGTTGGAGAAACTGGACAGCTACATGCAAAAGAATGAAAATGGGCTACTATCTTACATCATACAAAAATAAATTCAAAATAGATTAAAGACTTTAATGTAAGACCTGATACCATGAAACTCCTAGAAGAAAACATAGATAGTGAGCTCCTGGACATTGGTTTTGGCAGTGATTTTTTGGATTTGACACCAAAAGCAAAAGTAGCGAGAGCAAAAATAAACAAGTGAGACTATATCAAACTAAAAAGCTTCTGCACAGCAGAGGAAGCCATCAACAAAATGGAAAGGCCCTACCAAATGGGAGATAATGTTTGCAAGTCATATATCTAATATGGGGCTAATATCCAAATTATATAAAGAACTCTTACAATTAATAACAAAAGAACAAATAATCTGATTTAAAGTGGGCAGAGGATCTCAATAGACATTTTTCCAAAGAAGACATACAGATGGCCAACAGGTACATGAAAAGATGCTCAACATCACTAATATCAGGGAAATACAAATTAAAACCACAGTGAGATATCACCTCATATATGTTAGAATGGCTGTTATCAAAAAGACAAGAAAGAACAAGTGTTGGTGACAATGTGGGGAAAAGTAAACCCTCATGCACTGTTGCTGGGACTGCAAATTGTTGCATCAACTATGGAAAACAGTATGGAGGTTCCTCAAAAAATTAAAAATGGAACCGCCATGTGATCTGGCAATTCTACTTTGGGGTATTTATCTGAAAAAAAAAAATGAAAACACTAATTTGAAAAGATATATGCACCCCCATGTTTATTGTAGCATTATTTACAACAGCCAGAATATGTATACACAAGAGTCCATCAATGGATGAATTGATAAAGAAAATGCATATATACAGAATGGAATATTATGCAGCCACAAAAAGAATGAATTCTTAACCTTTTGCAATAACATGGATGCACCTTGAAGCATTATGCCAAATAAAATAGAAAAAAATAAATGGGGGTGCTTGGGTGGCTCAGTCGGTTAAGCATCTGCCTTTGGCTCGGGTCATGAGCCCAGGGTCCTGGGATTAAGCCCCACATCGGGCTCCTTGCTCTGCAGGGAGCCCGCTTCTCCTTCTCCTACCTGCTTGTACTCTGTCACTATCTCCCCTTCTCTCTCTCTCAAATAAATAAACAAAATCTTTAAAAAGAAAAAGATAAATGCTTTATGATCTTACTTATATGTGGAATCTTTTTTTTTTAGATTTATTTATTTATTTATTTTTAGAGTGAGGGAGAGGGGGAGAGAATCCTTAGCAGACTCGGCACTGAGCACGGAGCCCAACACGGGCCTCCATCCCACAACCCTGAGATGACAACCTGAGCCGAAACCAAGAGTTGGACACTTAACCAACTGTGCCACTCAGGTGCCCCAGTATATGTGGAATCTTTAAGCAAAAAAACCCAAAAACAAACAAACAAAAAAAACAAGCTCATGGATATGGAGAACAGATTTATGGTTACCTGAGTCAGGGGAGGGGAGGTAAAATGGGTGAAGGGGAGTCAAAAGGTACAAATTTCCAGTTACAGAATGAGTAAGTCATGGGGTGTGATGTACAGCATGGTCACTGTAGTTAATAATACTGTATTGCATATTTGAAAGTAGCTAAGAGTGGATCTTGAAAGTTCTCATTACAAGAAAAAAAAATTTTGTGACTGTGTATGGTGATGGGTGTTAACTGGACTTACTGTGGTGATCATTTTACAATATATACAAATAATAAATCATTACATCATATATTTGAAACTAATAATGTTATGTCAATTATACCTCAATTTTAAAAAAGCTAACTGGCTTTCTCAGTTAATGTATATTAATATATCAATACATATTAATGTATGTTGATAGAGTTCAAATAATAGCTATGAAAAGGATCTTTAAGGTTTCTTGTCTTGTTTGTTTGTTTATTTATTTGAGAGAGCATGAGTGGGGGGAAGCGGCATAGGGAGAGGGACGAGGAGGCTCCCCGCCAAGCAGAGAGCACGATGCAGGGCTTGATCCCATGACCCGAGTCAAATGCAGATGCTTAACCAACTGAGCCACACAGATGCTCCTATTTAAAGTTTCTTGTTCTAGCATTATATTTCCTATATTCTATTATCCTTTTATTGTATAATTTTTAATTATTTATACTCTTACGTGTTACTTTAGTCTTCAAGCATAATTGAAGCTCATTAACTTTTTGTTTCTATAAAAAATTTTATGTTATTTCATGTAATGAGGCAGTGGCTGTGTGATGTCAAGACTACTGGCCTAGGAATGGGAATACCTGAGTTCTAGTTATAGTTCTAAGACTTTTTTTCTCTGATATTTAATAAGCCACTTCGTCTTTTCATGAAAATGCATAATGAGACTTCTCATCCAAACAAGATGGCACAGACTTCTCTCTCCTTGCTCTCCTTGTTAAAGATAACTATAAAAACCCAGAAATAACACAAGAGACAATTAGGCGAACTCTGAAAGGTTCAGAAAGAAGAAGACCCAGAACTGGCAAAACAACCCGGCAGGAGGGTCTTAAAACCCTCTCACCCAACAGAAGAAGGGGACCCAGGTCTGATATTTGTTGACTTCCAATCTAGCAACAAAAGGCAGATCAGGTAGGCTCATTCCCCTCCTGGATGGAGTGGGAGTCCTTCCAAAAATATCAGGTGAGCCCAGAAAAACTGACAGGAAGGATTAGAAGCCCTGCTGACAATAAGTGGCCACCAAGGGAGTGCTTTCCCTCCCTTCCATGAAGAGGAGGTGGAGGGGCAGAAGAGGAGTCATCACCAACGTAGCCTGGGAAGCAGTTTGCATCTGTGAAGGTTAGAGGCTCCCTTCTCCAGGAGAGGCACACCAGGTGGCCTAGCCAGGGGGAATTCCTCCCATCCTTTCAAGTGACACTGGCTGAGAGCCTACCAAATTCTCACTTCAAGAAATTTTAAAAAGAAGAGCAAAATAAGCTCAAAGCCTACAGAAGAAAGAATAAAAATGAGAGCAGAAGAAATCAATGATCTTGAAAATATGAAAACAGAAAAATTAATGAAGCAAAAAGCTAGGTTTTTTAAATTTTAAAAAAGGTCAATAAAATTGATAAACCTTTAGCAATACTAACAAAAATAAGACACAAAGTACCAGTATCAGGAATAGAATAGTGGATATCACTGTAGATTCTCCAGACATTAAAAGGGTGATAAGCAAGGGCGCCTGGGTGGCTCAGACGGTTAAACGTCTGCCTTCGGCTCAGGTCATGATCCCAGGGTTCTGGGATCGAGTCCCGCATCAGGCTCCCTGCTCCTTGGGAGCCTGCTTCTCCTTCTGCTTCTCTCTCTCTCTCTGTCTCTCATGAATAAATAAATAAAATCTTTAAAAAAAAAAAAAAGGGTGATAAGCTAATGCTATGAACAACTTTACACTCAAACTTGATAACTTAGAAGAAATGGACCTTGAAAGCCCAAACTACAAAACTCAACCAAGATAAAATAGATGACATGAATAATCCTTTAGCCTTTGAAGAAATTAAATTAATAATTTAAAAGAAAAATCTCCAGGCTCAGATGGTTTTACTGGAAAATTCAAAGAATTAACACTAATTTTACAGTTTCTTCCAGAAGACAGACAAGGAGGGAACAGTTGTCAACTGATTTTACAGAGCCAGTATTACTCTGATACCCAAACAGGACGAAGACAGTACAAAAAAAAGAAAACCACAAAGCAATCTCTCTCATGAGCTAGGTAAAAAAAAGTCCTCAACCAAATAGTAGCAAACCCAACAATATAGAGAAAAGAAATATAAGTGATGCCCAAATGGGCTTTATTCCAGATCTGCAAAGCTGGTTCAATATTGAAAATCAATCAATTTAATCCATCATATCAACAGACTAAATATGAAATAGAAATATCACTAATCATATTTTGTGTTTTTTGATGCAGGAAAAAAAATCATATGTCCATTCTCAAGTTGGGAATAGAAATGAACTATGTCATCTTAATAAAGAGCATCTACAACAAACTTACAGCCAACGTTATATTTATAGTGAAAGAGTGAATGTTTTCCTTCTAAGTTTGAGACCAAGGCAAGGATGTCCACAGTGTTGACTGTGACACAGCACTGAAAGTTCTCACCACTGCAGTAAGGCAAGAAAGAAAAATAGGCTTACATACTAGAATAGAAAGGGGAGAGAAAGAAATAATAAAAATGTTATTCACAGATAAGAGGACTGTCTAGTACAAATTTCTAGAACTAATAAAATGAGTTTAGTATAAGGTATGAGGATACAAGATCAACACTCAAAATTATCAGTCACAATTAAAAACTACCATTTAGGGGTGCCTAGCTGGCTCGGTCAGAAGAGCATGTGACTCTTGATTTCGGAGTTGTGAGTTTGAGCCGCACATCAAGTGTAGAGATTAATTTAAAAAAAAACAAACTTTTTTTTAAAAACCCTACCACTTACAATCCTTACAAAGAAAATTAAGTACCTAGGCATAAAGTTAACAAAACATGTACAAGGATCTGTGTGCTGAAAATTACAAAATACTAATGAAAGAAATAATAATAAAAAAAAAACTAAATGGAAAGCTAGACTGTACTTGTGTATTGAAGGACTCCACATGGTACAAATTCACCTATTTCCAAATTGGCCCGTAGGCTTAAAGCACTTTCTATCAAAATACCAGCAAAGATTTTTGTAGGCATAAACAAACTTATTCTAAAATTTATATGGAAAGGCATAGGCCCTAGAAGCTAAAACAATTTGGAAAAGATGCATAAAGTGGGGAAATTATTCTACCCAATATTAAGGCCTATTATATAGCAGCAGTAGTCAAGACAGTGTGGCATTGGTGGAAGGATAAACGCATAAATAAATAGGATAAAATAAATCTGGAAATAGACCCACACAAATATGCCCAACTGCTATTTGACAAAGGTACAAAAGATGAGAGCAGGGGCCTCTGGGTGGCACAATCAGTTGAGTGTCCAACTCCTGGTTTCAGCTCAGGTCCTGATCTCAGGGTCGTGAGATTGAGCCCCCCCCAGTCGGGCTCCAAGCTCAGCAGGGAGTCTGCTAAAGTTTCTCTCTCTCTAAAATAAATAAATCTTTAAAAAAAAAAGAGAGAAGAGAGCATTTTCAACAATAATGCTAGAACAATTAGACCAAAAAAAAAAAAAAAAAAGACCTTAACCTAAACGTTTTTATACAAAAACTAACTCAAAATGGATCACTGACTCAAATGTAAAACTCTAAACCCTTAGGAAAGATCATAGGAGAAAATTTTGGAACTAGGGGTCCATCAGCAAAAAATTCTTCAACTTGACACCAAAAGCATGATCCATAAAAGGAAAAATTGATAAATTGGACCTGTCAAAATTAAAAACTTTTGCTCTGGAAGGACCTTATTAAGAGGATGAAAAACAAGCTACAGACAGGGAGAAAATATCTTCAGACCACATATCCAACAAAGGACTAGTATCTTGAATATATAAAGAAGTCATAAAATTCAGGCACCTGGGTGGCTCAGTTGGTTAAGCGACTGCCTTCGGCTCAGGTCATCCTGGAGTCCCGGGGTCAAGTCCCACATCGGGCTCCCTGCTCGGCAGGGAGTCTGCTTCTCCCTCTGACCCTCCTCCCTCTCATGCTCTCTGTCTCTCATTCTCGCTCTCAAATAAATAAATAAAATCTTAAAAAAAAAGAAAAAGAAAAAGAAAGTCATAAAATTCAACAGTAAAAAAAAATCACTTAGGGGGCTCCTGGGTGGCACAGTCAGTTGGGCGTCAGACTCTTGGTTTCGACTCAAGTAGTGGTCTCAGGGTTGTGGAATTGAGCCTCACATCAGGCTCCACGCTCAGCTCAGGGTCTACTTCAGATTCTCTCTCCCTCTCCTTCTGCCCCTCCCACTCGTGCTCTCTCGCTCCCTCTCTCAAGTAAATAAATAAATATTTTTTTTAAAATCAATTAGAAGGGACAAAAGACATGAGCAGCCATTTGACTAAATAGGATATATGGATGACAGAGAAGCACATGAAAAGATGTTCAGTGTTTTTAGCTATTAGGGAGATATAAACTCAAACCACCATGAGATGCCACTATACACCTATCAGAATGGAGGAAGTTAAAAATAGAACAACAAATGCTGGCAAGGTTGCAGAGAAACTGGATTGCTCATACATTGCTGGTAGGAATATAAACTAGCACAAACACTCTGGGGAACAGGTTAAGAGTTTCTTATTAAACTGAACATGCAACTACTATGATGCAGTAATTGTACTTCGGGGCATTTAGCCCAGAGAGGAAAACTTATGTTCACACAAAAACCTTGGAATGAACATTTATAGCTGCTTTATTCATAATAGCAAAAAACTGGAAACACACCACATATCCTCAAATGGATAAATGGTTGAACAGGTACATCCATACCATGAAATACACTACTCAGCAGAAAAAAAGGAGGGAGGTGAGAGTAGGGGGAATGAACTATTGATGCGAGCAACAACTTGGATCAGTATCCAGAGAATTATGTTGAGTCAGAAAAGTCAATCTCAGAAAGTTGCATACTGTATAATTCCATTTATATTATATAACATTCTTGAAATACAGTGTTAAAGAAATGGAGACTAGATTAGTGTGTTTGCTAGGGGTCAGAGACAGGGGAGAGTGACCAAGGGAGGAGGGTGTGACTATAGAAGGGCACCAGGGATCTGGACGGTATCAATGTCAGAAGCCTGTCTATGATATTATAACTTTACAGAATGTTACCATTGGAAGAAACAAAGGGCACACATTCTCTATGTTTTACAATTATGTGTGAAGCTACAATTACTTCAAAATTAAAAGTTTAGCTCTTTTCCTTTGGGGTGCCACCGAAGATCCTGGTGTCACCATGGGCCACCATGCAACCCAGTGTTACTGGTATTGTAAGAGCATGCCGTATCCAAAGTCTCATTTCTGCAGAGGTGTCCCTGCATCTTTGACCAGAGGCAGAAGAAGGCAAAAATGGATGAGTACCTACTATGTGGCTACATAGTATCAGATGAATATGAGCAGCTCTCCTCTGAAGCCCTGGAGGCTACCCATATTTGTGCCAACAGGTACATGGTGAAAAGCTGTAGCAAAGATGGTTTCACATCCGGGTGTGGCTCTACCCCTTCCACGTATCAGTAAGACTGTCAACTGTATCAACTGTCCTGTGCTGGGGTTGACGGGCTCCAGGCAGATAGGCAGAGCTCCTTTGGAAAGGCCCAAGGCACAGTGGCCAGGGTCCACATTGGCCAAATCATCATGTCCATCCTTACCAAATTGCAGAGCAAGGAGCATGTGATTAAGGCCGCACAAAGGGCCAAGTTCAAGTTCCCTGGCCATCAGAAGATCCACATTTCCAAGAAGTAGGGCTTTAAAGTTTAATGCGGACGAATTTGAAGACATGATGGCTGAAAAGCAGCTCATCCCAGACTGCTGTGGGTCAGATACATCCCTGATAGTGGCCCCTTGGACAAATGGCAGGCTCTGCACTCAGGAGAACCGGCAGTGCCCCCCGCCTTATTCATGCCCACCAATAAATCCTACTTCCTGTGTTTAAAAAAAAAAAAAAGTTTAATTTTAAAAAAAGGCCTAATGATACCTGCACTTCCTGTACCAGTCATCGTTAAGTGTGAAGGGAGGTACAACCTGGGCCAGGCTGTGAGTGCCTTGGGTGCACATGGAAACAGTGAGCCCTAACTAGCCTTATGTTTATTTTGACTTATGTATTCAGTATTTCTACTCCACCTTATTCAAAAAGTATTTACAGTCATTTTTATGTATTGTTATCCTTAATAATAAGGTTCATATACCTATTTACCAAATACCTTGTGAGGGTTTTCTTAGTGTTGATCACACCATCCATGCTAGGAATGAAAAAGGAAAAGTAAGAAGTGTGACAGACGGAGCCCAGCCCCAGCACCTCCGGTTCCTGTGTGCATAGTATCAGTCATGCACTGGGTCTGGAGCTGGAGCTACTAATTCCGTTCAGGCTTCAAGAGACTGGTAGAGGTTCTGTGCTTGGTTAGCTGATGGGTGAACTTGGTTTTCAGTGAGACACTTTTTTTTTCACATTTTGCTATCCATTTGGAATGCATCTTACAATGTTGATTCTTAGTGTAACTGGCAGTGTTTTTCTTTTTAAGAAAAAGTTATTTTTCTTTCTAATACATAAAATAATGGTGCTGCTTACACTTAGTGGCTCCTTAGGCTCAGTGAGATATAGTAATCCTGTCTAAAAACAGACTTTCCAGTTTTCATCTAGATATTTTACCAATCCTAATTTTAATAATTTTATTAAACAGTTTAGGGGAGAGGCTTTTTTTTTTCTTTAGAGGAACTCCTCTAACAGTTGGAGGGTTTCATGGTAAATTCTGTGATATTCCATGGTAGTGTAGTACTTACATACACCCAAATATTGAAACCTCATTTCCCCTCTTTTTTCTTCTTTGTTTTTCAAGTGTCAATATACAGCATCTGGTTTTACGACAAGAATGACTGTCACCGCATAGCCAAACTCATGGCCGAGTAAGTATTTATATCACGACATAGATTCAATTAGTGATATATGAGAGATGAAAAAATGACTTTCCCCCTTACTTCTCTTTGTTACTGAGTCTACTAACTCATTTATTTCTCACCTGATTTCCTGCTTATTGTCAAAAATTTGTAAGAGGCAGAAAAGCTTAAAGAACTCTAGAATCGTCTGTAATCCTACTATTCCCATTGTTAGTGTTTTAGTCTGTTTCCTTCTAGTCTTTTTATTTGTACATTAGGTTGGGGTGATATGCTTAGGGCTGTCAAACTGCCTAACTCCAGAGGACACCATCGACACCCAGGGCACAGCCTTCCCACTACCTGCAGGGGCTTTACTAAGGGGCTTTTACTTCAGGCTCCCTCCAGGTTTCTGCTCTGACGAGTGATGCCGCGTTCAGCAGCTGATAGAGAACTCCTGCACACTCTTCCCTGAAGTGAACTTCATTTTGATACCGATTCTAGGTTTGGTAGTCCCCAGTTCACCACTGGATTGTGTTCCAGTAAATGTTTTGTATGTCAGAATCTTAGAATTGGGAGAGTAATTTCATTGAATTAATGTTCTGAAGGGGGGGTTCACTGTGCTTTCTTAGGTTAGCCTACGGGAGCCACCTGGCTTACCTGTGCTGCTGGTCCAGATTCTAGGAGCCCAGGACACTGTGGTGCTGAGGGGGCCTGCGGTGCCACACAGCTCTGGGCAGAGCGTTACGGCGGGCAGTGTGTTCTGGCTCGCCTGTGTTTCCCTTGCACAGTTTTTGCCTGAATCTTCTCAGAGATGTGGAGCCCCCTCTGTCAAATCAAAATTCTCTTTGCTCTCCTGCAAGGTTCTTACCTGCATCTTTGGAAGAAAACAGTCTTCATTTTTTAAGAAACAGGCCAATTTTACACTAATTTCTGTAAATGTGTAAGTAAATAATTAACCCCCAAACCTCAGTTCAAGTATATTTGCATTTTAAAAGAAGCACACATGGCTAAGGCGACGTTTTAATCCAGGACCGCTCACATGTCCTGATGCGATGTTCGTCAGCCTCCTGCTTTATTTGCTTTGGCTGTGAGCTCACAGGGGAGGCCATGTTTATTACTGTGGGCACACACCCCTGCAGACAGTGTTCCAAATGAATTTGGATCACTCAGGCTTGAAGAACCACACTTTTCTTTTTACAACACCTTTTCTCTGGAAATTAATTAATTAAAACCGCTTTTTTACAAAGCCATTTGCTTATTTGATGACTACTTTTTTGTAGTTTTTTTTTTTTTTTTAAGATTTTATTTATTTATTTGAGAGAGAGCATGAGAGGGGGTAGGGTCAGAGGGAGAAGCACACTCCCTGCTGAGCAGGGAGCCCAATGCGGGAGTTGATCCTGGGACTCCAGGATCATGACCTGAGCCGAAGGCAGTCGCTTAACCAACTGAGCCACCCAGGTGCCCCTACTTTTTTGTAGTTTTGAAAGTTACAGCAAAGGCACTTTACTTCTAATTACTTAGAAGACACAGATTTGCTAATTCTTGGTTATCCTGAAATCCAGAATATTTCCCTTAAATATCCAAACTTTGGAATATCTTAAATATCCAAACTTTCTCCTGCAGATTGAGAGCTTTTGGGCCCCAAGTGAGAAATCTGTCTCTCTTAGCTTTAATAGCTACTTACAGGAAACCATTTTGAGCTTTTTTCTAAACTATCAGGGCCAGCGGTACCCCTCATATAAGACTTCAGATGGTAAATGAGGCAGAATACTGAAGGCCTATCTGAAAATATTGTATGGAACCCAAAAATAGGGTGAGGAAGTAGAAACAGAAAGCAGAAGGGAAGAGAAGAGCCTTCAGGTTTTTTCATGAGAAATGCCCAAAAGAAGCACATTTGCTTACACTTTCAGCTGGTTTTACTAGAAGCAGAGGAGGTATTGAAAGTGATTAGAGAGTGCCCTCATGAAACTGTTGATAATGAGTTTTAAGTGTCTGGACTATTTATGGCCAAAGAGAATACCTTATATGTTAACATTAACTTTGTGATAAATGGTGTTCTGGTCACCAAAGATAAAAAAAGACTACTTTATCTTTCCTTGCTCTGACTTTGCCTGTGTACAGCCTCTATTTGCCCCATATTTCAGAATATCATCTCTGCTAACCAGAAATACAGGTAAAATTCTTTCTGGCATATTGTGTGTCTCAATAACTGTGCCTGTCAGTGCCCATCCTGTTAAATCACTGTTTCAACAGCTGCAATATAATAAAAATTCTCCAAGTAAAGAAATTGACTTATTCCAAAAGATGTTTATAAAAACTGAGAAGCTATGTGGGAGAGCAAGCAAATTTCTAGACCTGTACATATCCGAATTTGGAAATCCTCTTTGGTCAGTGGCGAAGTTGAAAATCCACTAAACTTGGGAAATGCTGACTCTCCTAAAGAGAAAATCCACTCTGCCAGAAACTTTTCTTAACAATAAACACTTGTTTAAATGGTTGCCTATATAGACTATGAAATTTGGAGAACTCATGGAAGTGAGCTTTATTCCTGATTTTACAGATAGGCTTGGGGCATATTTGAGAGGAGGGCGAGAGGCAAGGGCGTTCCTCACAGAGTTTGGATTGGAAGAGGCCTTACAGAGTCCAAGCATCATTCCTGTCCCTTCCATGCCATCTGGACAGCTTCTACTTACAGCCGTGGTGAGCGTTGTAAGGTGGCCTGTTCCACTGGTGAGCAGTGGTGACTACTAGAAATGTGCTTCTCTTTGGGGGCGCCTGGCTGGCGCAGTCAGTAGAGCATGCAGCTCTCGATCTCAGGGTCAGGAGTTCAGGCCCCTTTCGGGCGTAAAGCTTACTTTAAAAAAAAAAGAAAACCAAACAAAAGAAAGAAAGAAAAGAAATGTTCTTCTTTTAAATCAAAATTTCAGATCCAGTGTGGGTCAGGGGAGAGCGGAATACCAGCCTGGGCAAGCCAGGCAGCATGGCAGGAGGTAGGAGAAATAGGCTGCGTGACCATAGTCCTCAGTAAAGGTGGATTCAGGCTGGTGCAGCCTATAACTGAGTGTAAATACAAGTCACTTGAAATAGCATTCTTTTTTTCTCCTGATTATTAAAGGAGCACCTGTTAATTATGGAAAATGAAGAAAAGTACAAAAAAGGAAAGTGAAATTGCTTGTGACCCAGCAAATATGTCTCTCCAGTCTTTTTTTCCAGTACAATCTTTCTTTCCCAGTATGGATATAAGAGAAACAATATTGATTCTAATTGGTCTCATGCTCATATCACATATCAGTCTTCTTTCACTCTACTGTAAAGTCTATGATTGTACATTCGTTTTAGAAATAATCATCCCAGGGGCGCCTGGGTGGCTCAGTCGGTTAAGCGTCCGACTCTTGGTTTCAGCTCGGGTCATGATCTCAGGCTCCTGGGATCAAGCCCTGTGTTGGGCTCCACGCTCAGCAGGGAGTCTGCCTGAGATTCTCTCTCTCCCTCTGCCCCTCCCCCTGCTCACTTTCTCTCTAGAATAAATCTTTAAAAAAAAAAAAAAAAAAACTAGATGCAGTTAAGCATCTGCCTTCAGCTCACATCATGATCCCAGGGTCATAGGATTGAACCCCGCATCAGGCTCCTGCTCAGCAGGGAGCCTGCTTCTCCCCCTTCCTTCTGTAGCTCCCCCTGCTTATGCTCTCTTGCTCTCTCTCTGTCAAATAAATAAAATCTTAAAAAAAAAACAAATTCATCAATCAATTATCCTATTCAGAGCTGTAAGAATCTAGATAGAGAAATGACAATATTATCTTAAAGCAGGATTTTCCAAACAAATCCCGCCTCAGGAGAAGATTCTATATGGTCAAATAAATTTGGGAAAATTTATAAGCCCACCCTTCTTGGAGAATCAAATACATTTTAGCATGTTAAAAACTCAGAATGATTCTGCTATTTAAAATTTTAAAAAGGTCTGTTTAATATTATTTAATCCAGTGTTTTCAAATACAAGAACCATCCCACACACGTTAATGGGAGCTCCTAGGCAGGCTGTCTTAAAGCAGTGAACAAGACACTGAGCAGCCTATTCTTGTCCTACTCCTTTTATTAAAAAAAAAAAAAACCTTTTGCTACTGAATTATTTTATTGCCTATCCTTTTCACTGTCCAGAAAGTTCTTAGTTCATACAATTATCAAGCTGGGTCTGTGCCCCTAATAACCTATGGTAGATAAGCCTATTCATTACAGTTGGGATTAAAACCTATATGAATCTTAAAAAGTAAAAAGACCTCAACCCTATCAGTGGCATTCTTAACCCTCAACTTTTCTTGCTTTAGGTCTTTTCAAGTGCAGAATTAGCCTAAGCACCAACCAGAATAAAGAGCCTTGCCACAATCACCCTGACCTCAGCCACCCACTCAGTGATTTCTAAGGAGAGAATAAGGGAAACCTTTGAAGATTCCCTGAGACCTCTCTTCTCAAGAAGGTTCTCTCCACACACACCCCCCCCCACCCACCACTAGTCCGGTGTTGGTACAAACTGCACAGTGGGTTGCTCAGCTGTGCAGCCTGCCTTTGTCTTGCTGGCCACATCCATTTGAAAATGTACTTTACCTGGTAGTTTGACTGAGTCTGAGATACTTCAAAAAAGAGAAAGAAATAATTTAGTCATTTTAATTTATCTGCTCCCACCAACTCTAGAAAAGAATTCTGCACTTCTGTCCTAACAGTGAGACACCATCAGTTGGCATCGCTGTGCATGAGCTGGTGAAGTGGTTAGTCATGTATTCCCGGGATGAGGTAACCGAGGCCCCGTGTTTATATTGGGAGGCCAGTGTATCCTATGACATTCTTCCCGTATCCGCAAAAGACGAGCACCAGGAGGGTTCATACGTCAGGTTATGTCTAAAGAAGTCTTTCTGAAACCTGGTTCTCTTCCACTAGTGTTGTAGAAGAGGAGACACGGCGGTCCCAGCAAGCAGCTCGGGACAAGCAGAGTCCTAGCCAGGCCAACGGCTGCAGTGACCACAGGCCCATTGACATCCTGGAGATGCTAAGCAGAGCCAAGGATGAATATGAGAGGGTGAGATGCTGACTGGGAGCACCGAGAGGGGAGGAGGAGGCCTGCAGGGGACTCATGTGCTGGGGAAGTTACCTCAAGGCCAGTAGAGATAATTAGTCCAAAAAGAAAGTGTGTCTTACTGTTTTTAGCCTAAAAGACGGGGAAAGAAATTTGCTTATCTCAGAGTCCTTGACTTGGCATGAAAATTTAGAATGCTCTTTTTCTATTCCTGTAAAATTACTATGGGAGAAAATGGTTTCAGGGTGCAGAAGTTAGCCTGCAGCAGGTAGTTCCGAAAAAGCTTCTTGCCTGTTGTTCACCCCTGCAGTCTCTGCTAGGGCTTAGGAATTTATGTAGTCTGATCATTTGCACCCGCTAATACTAAAGGGTATATTTATGGTCTGTAATTGGTGGTAGGTTCACAGCCTTTAATTTGGATTTTACCCACATGTGAAGCTTTTCTAGAATTCTTTTTTTTTTTTTTCTCTTTTGTGTGTTAGTTTAAAAGTTAAATGATAATATTTTCTCCCCAAGGTTGAATAAAATGGAAGTTGTAGGGCATTTGTTAATTTATTTAATACACACTTATGAACTGTCCACTGTGTGTCAAGCAGTGGACATTTCCTCGGTGATCGTCAAACCGTGTGGCTGTGAAACTGTCCTGGCTTTTCACTTGACATGGGCACTTCAGAGCCCTGCACTTCTAGGAGCAAGACCAAAGGTTCCCACCGCTGCACCTTGTTTTAGTGGCATTGTAATTGTCACCTTACTCTTTACTCATGTCTGATTAAGTACTTTCTTTTATTTTCTGTGTGGTGTTCACCTCACCAAAAATTTAAGGAACAAGGTATGAAAAGCACTCCCTGATGTGTTTCCCAAACAGTCCTGCTCTGTCACTAGCCTCTACATGGTTAGCAAGTGATCCGTAAGGAAAAGTTCCAGTTGGTCAAGTGAGTTAAGGAAACATTGTTTACGTGGCTCCTCCTCCCCCATCCTCTTAGGGCTTTGCAATGCTCAAGACTCTGAGAGGCCCTGTAATTCCCAAGTTGATTTAACCACAGGACCGTTTTTCACATATTCCCCTTTAGCATCTCAAGAATCTAGAGTTTAGGAAACAAACTTTGGAAACAGTGCTCTGGAAGGTAGTTTCCTCTAACAAAGGAAGTCATATTTAGACACCAAAGGAAGTCCCACCCAGGGTAGAGAAGTATACATTAGAGTCCATGAGAAGTTTCAAATTATACCAAATTCCTCAGTGTCTCATAGAGAATTAGGAGGAATTTGTGGATCTGTGAAAATTAATATAGGAGAAGCAGTCATCTCTATAGTAGATTCATTGATTTTTAGGAAACTGGATGAGAATAAATTTTAATAATCATTTACTTTAAGAATCATTTTTTGTACTTTTAGGTCACCTTATATCCCCCCAGGCCCCCTCATATCCTTAATGAGATCTGGATTACCTATAGATGCCTTGTTCAGTTTTTATAGAGGCCTTTCTGTGTTCTGACAACAGGTAACTAATAAACCCAGGGCTCTGCCACATATGCCTAGTGATGACTAGATCGTGGTGGTGCCACACGGGACAGAAAGTATAAGGGCTGTAACCAGAGCTGGCGCTCTAGGAGGTGGCCCGCTTATTCCTCAGGCTAAGTAGCGAGTGGCTGCAAAACCAAAGCAGGAACTGAAGCTTAGTTTTTGTACACAAAGCTATAACGGAGCGTTAGGTCAAACAGGCAGTCTGAAAATCTGACCTGATTTCTAGTTAATGCATTGTGAAAGTAAGAATATGGAGAGCACAGCAAATAACTGTTGTAAAGAAAATGTTCCCAGTGGTGTGGAATAAATAAAATGATGTCTAGAACTAAAATATTTGGGAACTTAATAAAATCTTTGGTACTTACTTTATAATGTGTTCTTTCTAAAGTTTTTGAAAACTGTCTGTAAATAGGCGGAGCTTCCTGAAAGAACAGTTTTGTTTCTTGTCTGCACTTGCCTGTCATCTAACCAAATGGAGTTGGTATTAGCAGTGACCCATGAATTCATATCTCAGTGTTTGCGTGGGTGCTCTCAGCTGCCGCATGGTTCCAGATGGCTCCTTTGTTTATCTTTAGGTAGAGACTTAGATTGACAGAGTCAAGGGCAGGGGTACAAACCACACCTCAGCAATGGGATGTACTCCCAACCCTAAATCTCCCCCGTCCACTGTGTGTCTTATAATGAATGAAATTGCAGACTTTGGGGTGCAGGATTTATAATAGAGACTACTTGGAAATAAGAACTGCCTATATAAACATTTTCTCCCTGAGTCCTATAGTTTGTTTTAACCAGCGTACCTTTTTTAATGTAAAGAAAGATAGCTAAACCCACAGTCCTTTACAGTTGCTCCTTGCTGAGTTACTTCTAGTCACAGGATATAATCCTGGATTTTTGTAGGGGTTATTTGTATTTTATATTTAAAGATTAGAGTAAAAGAAAAAGACATAATCCCACCACCTAGAAATGATCACTGTTAATACTTCATTATGTATCCTTCCAAAAATATGTATAAATATGTCCTGTGTGTGGTACATTTCTCTACATTAGTTTTATTAACTAGTCTTAAAAGTCGCTTTTATTAACTCTTTTGTAACCAGTTTTTTCCCAAAGAGCAGTATCTTTATGACAGTGGCTGTTCATCTCATAGGGAGTCCCTGTGAGATTTCTTTTGGTAGAATGAAAAGTCTTTGAAAAAGAGAACAGTGATATTAATAGCTGCATATTTTTCCTTCCGTGCCTTACATAAACAATACGCTGTTTTTTTCTGATTCTCTTAAGAATTCAGAAATATATCCTGTAGCTAAGTTTTCATGTTCAGTATTTTCTCTTAAGATAAATTACTTGAAATAGAATTGGTAGATCAAAGGATTTTGATATTTTTAAGGTTTTTACCAAATATTGTAAAATTACCCTCCGGGAAGTTTGTGATTGTTCACTTCCCCCAATCCATACAAATAAATACTAGAGTGTCATCAAAAAACAAACTCAGAGGAAACCTTCCAAGAACGGCCCTACACATGTATTAAAAAATGTCTGAAGTTCTAGAGACCTTTTAAAGCATAACCCATCTTGTAGCTCATGTTAAGTATAGGAGACTCAACTACCCCCAAAACCACATGGGCCACGGGAGTGCATGCAGTGCGTCAGGGTGGACCCGATGTGGACAGAGCCTGGCCCTGCATTAGAGGGTCACTTGCAGCTCAGCTCCAGCCGTTGTTGCCAAGGTATCCAGCTTCTCTCTGAAAATAACAAGCTGGGATTTTTATGTGCAAATGTTCAATTTTTAAAATGTTTCTGAACATTTTATACCTTCTGTTCTAGGAACTTGTGAACAGTGTTTTGAGCTTTTCTCTAATACAGTTTAATTCCAGGCACTCTCCATAATGTTAATATAGATTGATGGTGGTGTTGCATAGAGAGGTGGAAAATAAGATATTTCATAAGCAGGTAAAATAGTTGAAGGGGGTTAAGAGGTACAGACTGCCATTTAGAAAACGAGTGAGTCACAGGGATGAACAGTACCGCACAGGGAATATAGTCAGTAATGTTGTAGTGAATGTCTGCTGGCCACACTTACCCTCATAGGCACCATGTGATGTGGAGAATTGTCTAATGCTTCAGTAGTTTTCAGATGTTTTCAAAAGATATTTCATAGACTTCCCAGGCTCTTTCACCTCTATGTAAATGGGTAACACTGAGTAAAAGGTGTTCTGAAATAAGGATTAAGTCATTTGAATAGAAAAAAATGCCTCTTTGCCATTCTTTTAACATTGGAGTGCCTAACGCTGTGCTAAAAAAAAAAAAAAAAAACTCTAAAAAAAGATCACTAGATGGACGTGGAATTATAAATTTTAGAAATCTAAAGTTATATTTGGGCTATCTGATCCAGCATCTAGTGAGCATTATCCATGTCAAAACAGACACCACAAACAGTTCAGAACACTCAGGAGACCAGATTAAAAAAAAAAAAAAAAAAAAGCCCCAACTTCAGTCCAGGGACGTGTTAATTTTGATAGCATAGTACATATGATGTTTTGCTAACCAAATAATAGTCAGCAAACTTTTCACATGATATGCTTTTCCTTTTAATTTCAGAATCAGATGGGCGACTCCAATATCTCCAGCCCTGGGTTACAGCCAAGTACTCAGCTCTCCAATCTGGGAAGCACTGAGACTCTAGAAGAGATGCCATCGGGGTCACAAGATAAGGTCTGTACAGCTAAAGCTCTAGCTTTGTCCAGGGTAACAAAACACAGAGTAGTATTTTGTAAAGATATTAATGCAGTACGAATATGATTTGTTATTTATCTGTCAAGGTGCATACAGGCAGCAACATGCTAACATCCACTCTTGCCATTTGCCCTGTCTTTCCATCTAGATTTTGCAGGAGCCTCCACTTTGGTTTTAGAGCTTTTGCCCTTGCCACCCCCTTACCTCTTCTTCACCCAGCAGCCAGAGTAATCCTGATTCAACATAAGTTAGGTCATGGCGTTCCTCTGCTTAAAATGTTCAGTGGTGCCCCCTCTCACTCGAATCAAAGCCAAGGAGGCCATCCAGTGGTCCACCAGCCCTGACCTGCTCTGGCTCCCTGCCCCCTGCCTCATCTTTTCTCTCCCTGCCTTGCTCACTTGGCCCCAGCCTCGTTGGCTCTTCTGCCTTTCCACAAATGTGCCGGACTCACCCCTGCCTCGGGACAGGCCTTTGCACTTGCTGTTCCCTTTGTGTGGAATACTTTCCTCCCAGATAGGGTTTTCTCTATTACTTCTTTCAAGTTTCGAGCGTCCTCCATACAGGTGAGGCCTTGTCTGGTCACCCTGTTTTAAGTAACAATCCTTCCTTACCCCTGTCCTGCTCTGTCTTATTTTCTCCCTACGGCTTTACCAGCCAACATGGTTTATGATTTTTTTTACTAGGCGCACTGTGTCTCCTCCCCACCTAAGTGTAAGCTCCATAGGGACAGGCAGTTTTATCTGCCTTGTTCATTGCCGTATTCTCAGCACCTAGCATCTGTAAATATTTGTTGACTGAATTAGATTTCTTTGTAGCCGATGGCTTAATAAATGAACAGATACCAAGTATAAAACCCATAGTTTTTTAACTAATCTTTTTACTTTGAAATAATTATAGATAAACATGCAATTATAAAAAAATAATACAGAAAGATCCCACATACCCTTTGCCCATTTCCCCACTGATGACAACTTGCAAAATAAAGTACAATATCACAACCAGGATATTGAGAAAATCTACCCATGTGGTTCACATTTCCTCAGTTGTATTCACATTCATTTCTGTGTGTATGTGCAGGTATGTATTTCTGTGCGATTTTATGTCCTGTATAGCTCTGTGTATCCACCCCCACGGTCAAGATAACAAACACATCAACACAAGGGTTCTTCCTGTTGCCTTTGTATTGTCACACCGACTCCCCTATCACACCTTCCTGTCTTTCTCCTCCTCCCATCCCTAACCCTGGCAGCCACTAATCTGTCCCCCATTCTATAATGTCATTTCAAGAAAGTTACATAAATGGAATTATATAATATATAACCTTCTGGGAGTGTCTTTCTTCACTCAGCATGATTCCTGGAGATGTCATTGAAATTATTGGGTTTATCAGTAGTGTGTTCTCTTTGTTCTCTTTTATTCTGCCACCCAATCAAGTAGGAGTACCAAGATTTGTTTAACCATTTCTAACCATTTGCCTGTTGACAGAACATCTGGGTTGTTTTCAGTTTTTAGCTATTACAAGTAAAGCTTCTGTGAACATTTGTGCATAGGTTTTTGTACACAGATTTCCATTTCTCTGGGATAAATGCTAAGTCATGCAAATGTTGGGTCACTTGGTAATTCCATATTTTAGTTTATTAAGAAACTGCCATAGAGTTTTCCAAAGAGGCTATAGCATTAACATTCCCATCAGCAATGTATCCATAATGTTTTTAAGTATTTAGGTGATAGCCAGATTTTGTATACTGCTTTCCAATGCTCCATTTTTACCGTATTTGCATTTAGAGGCCTGAAGGTCAAGCATATATTAAGAGTGGTGCTATGTAAAATGTAATTTTTACAAAATAAATGTTGAGGGAGAGAAGGAACAGCATCCCTGTGTTCCTTCTTGTCTGGTGTATCAGCCCCAAGTGTTCAGTGGGCCAATCACATCCCCTTTCTGATTCATGAGTCACTTCCCCTTTCCTTTCTGAATCCTGGGGTTAAGGATTCTTATACTGCCTAACTCCCGGGGTGATTGTGAGAACCAAATGAAGGAACAGACCCAAGACCCAGAGAACCTGTGGGACACCTGGGCTCAGGTGGTTAAGTGTCTGACTTTGGCTCAGGTCATTTATTTATTTTTTTTTTTTAAGATTTTATTTATTTATTTGACAGAGAGAGACACAGCGAGAGAGGGAACACAAGCAGGGGTAGTGGGAGAGGGAGAAGCAGGCTCCCCGCCGAGCAGGGAGCCCGACGCGGGGCTCGATCCCAGGACCCCAGGACCACGACCTGAGCCCAAGGCAGACGCCGAACGACTGAGCCACCCAGGCGCCCCCAGAGAACCATTTAGAACACAGACCTTGGGATAGAAGAGGTTTCCTGTTACAAACCCATATTGCAATCAAAACCAGGCTCAGGGCATCAGTGCCTGCTTTCTGAAAAGACCAATAAGAAAGTCCCCAGCACCGTACCCAGTATTCCGAGTCTGGCCTCCCTCAGCACCGCCGCAGAGCAGCCTCACCTTCGAGAGCACGACAGGTGGCAGGCCGTGCGCTGCTTGGCTAAATGGGTACTGGAGTAGGTTGGGCAATGCCTGTTGCCACGGCCAGGGGAAAGGAAGAAAGGCAGGGAGGAAATGATAATTGGGCAGATTTCCAGGCAATTGAAAACAGGCAAAATGCTCTTACGCTTTGTTTCTTAAGTTCCGTGACACCTGGTGTTAGCATCATTTTTATTGTACAGAAAATAGCTCTTCACATGATAACACAGATTATATAAGCGTGAGATGAAGGTAGCATCAATATCATTGTTGTATGTGTGTGAAAACGGAGACCCAGGGTAATTTTGTAAAAATCTAGCTGCTTTAGGATGGGAGCATTTTCTTACTGGGGTGTAATTAACACTGTAACTTTCTGTAGATGTAACTTTTAAACGTTGTAACTACCACCCAGATCAAGAGATATAAAATTTCCACCATCTTAAATTCAATAAAAACTGAGTTCATTTGTCACAAATAGGGCAACTGCAACAGAAAGGAAAAGAAATCTTAATCATTAAATTTAAAGACAATTCTTTTTATGTACAGATTCCATTGTATTATACATTAAAGACTTTGTGTAATAAGCTTTCAAGCCAAGTTAATAACAGATGGGGGGGCGGGGGTGGAGAAATGGACCCAGAAGAAAGCCTTAAGAGCCATAAAACAGTGTCCATTGAAAGATGAAGGGTGTGATGAGCTGTGCATGCTTGGCCTTTCAGCAGAAGTGCCGGTGATGGATCTGTGGACGCACAGTATTGAAGTGGGCACATGGAGAATTAGACCCTCTAACGAGCAGAGTGCTGATGTTTGTTACTCCTTCATTCGCACATCCTTCTGAAAGTCCATTTTATAGGCCACGGTGACAGAATTTTGTAGAATATTGGGATCTGGATATTGTCAGAAGTCCTGTGATTGACTAAAATTAGCTTAAATCCATAATCAGCCCCTATGCACAGATAGTACACTTGTTTGGCAACACTGCCATCTGGTGCTGAGGAGCGAGTAATGCTGTCAAGTCTTCGTCGTATTAAATCCCATTTCAGTGTCATAATTCACTTGCTAAAATTCCCTTGGGACTGTTTCCCTAGTATGTGGTTTGTTGTGGGGTTTGTTTTTGTTTTTGTTTTTGTTTTTGTTTTTGTTCCTGAGGTTAAGAATAATAATACGGGCGCCTGGGTGGCTCAGGTGATTGATTAAGTGTCTGACTTTGGCTCAGGTCATCATCTTGGGGTCCTGAAATTGAGCCCCATGTTGGGCTCCCTGCTCAGCAGAGAGTCTTCTTCTCCCTCTCCCTTTGCCCTTCCCCTGCTCATGTTCTCTGTCTCTCAAATAAATAAATAAATTCTTAAAAAAAGAAAAGAAAAGAAGAATACATAGCTCCTGGTGTGCCTGGTACACTGACCAGGTAGGAAATCTGACATGGACACCATAGATCCAGACAGAAATAGGAAATTCCCTAAATGGCAAGTGCTGTGGGGTGAAGAAGGAGCAGTGTGAAGCCTGATAGAGTGTACTAGAATTTTGTTGTGCACCATACATAACTGTTGCTCCCCGAATTCCATTCCACAAGGGGAATGGTGAGACTAACAGTTGATGTAAGTGGGGCATTGCAAAACATAGAATTCAGACATGAAGGAAGAATAAAATTCACCTTTTCTATGGATGAGGGAAGATGAATCCATGAATAAATAAGGCCAACTACTAGAGCAGTGTGGCATTTTTTCTTGTCGTGGGTAGAGAAGGGAGAGAGGGTCCTCTCAAATGCAGAGACTAAAGCTTTTATGTGGAGAAGCATGCTCTGTTCACTTCCCTCTCGTGACTGATTCAGCCAGTTACACATATTTCCAAAAGTGGGTACATTTTGACCTATCGCTGCCTCTTGGTTATTCAAGCCATAGATGTACACATCTCTGTTTTCCAGAAGCCATTATCACCATCCAGTTGATTAGGTAACCTAGAATATATTTACTTGACACGTCAGTACAGGGGCGTAATGGTTAAGAACGTGGACTTACCGTTAGGACTAGGTTGAGTCTGGTTCTGTTATACTTGAGTGTCACCTACAAGATGGCAGTGATAATAATACAGCCCTCACTGATTAATAGAGTAATGCGTGTGAGGTGCTTAGCACAGGGCTTCCCACATGGTGAGTGTTCTGTCTCTGGTCACTCTGCTTGCCATCGTAACTTCATTTATCCCTTCTTATGTGAGATTCCCCTGAAATCCTAATGCCTTACCACGCATCCTATTCCAGAGAAGGTCTGAGAATATTTCTGGCCTGGCAGAAGTTGTAGGGAGGCCCCATGGAGAAATCTGGAAACTTTCTGCTGCTTTTGCAATCAGGGTTCAGGGCTCTACCATATGGATTCATTTTTTAATGTGAGGTCAATTTTAAACCATTAAAAATAACCTTTTTTTAGGGGCACCTGGGTGGCTCAGTCGTTAAGCGTCTGCCTTCGGCTCAGGTCGTGATCCCAGGGTCCTGGGATCGAGCCCCACATCGGGCTCCCTGCGCCGCGGGGAAGCCTGCTTCTCCCTCTCCTACTCCCCCTGCTTGTGTTCCCTCTCTCACTGTGTCTCTCTCTGTCAAATAATAAATAAAATCTTTAAAAAAAAAAAAAAAAAAAGAACCTTTTTTTAAGTGTAAAAACATTCTAAGTGTACACGTAGGTAATTTTAATTGTTCAAAAGTCGATTTATGTTCCACTGGGCAGGTAAAAATTGCTACTTGAATCATTGCCATTTTTTGAAGCCTAAGGTATATTTCATACTGAATTTTCTCCATGTCCCGTTTACTCTTCTTTTTTTTTGAGGGAGAGCACGCATGTGCGCTTGAACAGGGAATGGGGGGAATTGAAGGGCAGAGGGAGAGGGAATCCCAAGCAGGCTCCACACTCAGCACAGAGCCCAATTCGGGGCTCTGGATCCCACTACCCCAAGTTCACAACCTGAGCCAAAATCAAAAGTCGGACATTTAACCGACTGAGCCACTCAGGTGCCCCCATCCTTTTCTTAAAACATAAAAATATTTGTATTCTTACCTGGGAAAGACTGAAGTTTCTGCAAAATAGCCTCAATATGGTCCATATTTTTCAAAGTACGTCTATCCAAATGTTTTTTGTGTGTATATACATCTATATGAAATAGAATGTGGTGGTAAAGATCTACATAATTTGTATTAATGAATAACAGCGTAGTTTTCAGATAATCTTGACCATTTTGTTCTAAACATAATGTGTATAAAAGAGTTAACCCAACTCAAAAATGGGCAAAGGACTTGAATAGTCATCTTCTCAAAAAAGATCTAGAAATGGCAGAATGTGGAGAAACCAGAACCCTCTTGCATCACTGGTGAGAATGTAAAGTGGTGCAGCAGCAGCTTTGGAAAACAGTCTGGCAGTTCCTCAAAAAGTTAAACATGGAATTACCATATGATCCAGCAGTTCCATTCCTGGGTATATACCCAAAAGAATTGAAAACAAGGATGAAGACAAACACTTTTACACTAATATTCACAGCAGCATTATTCACAATAGCCAAAAGGTGGGAACAACCCAAGTATCAATCCTCAGATGAATGGATAAACAATATGTGGGGTGTGCACATGATGGAGTACCAGTCAGCATTTGTAAAAGGAAGGAGACTCTTGACACCTGCTGTAGCATTGATGAACCTCAAGGACATGATGCTGGGTGAAGGAAGCCAGTCACAAAAGGACAGATATGATATGATTGCACTTGCATGGGGTGCCTAGAGTAGGCAGATTCACTGGAACGGAAAGTCGAATGGAGATTACCAAGGTTGTGGGTAAGGGAAAGAACATGGTGGTTACACAGCATTGTGAGTGTCCTGAATGCCGCTGAGTTCTACACTTCCATGTGGTTACAGTGCTAAATTTTGGTACATATGATTTACCAGAACCTTTTTTTTTTAAGATTTATTTATTTGAGAGAACATACCCTCAAGTTGGGGGAGGGGCAGAGGGAGAGAGAGAATCTTAAGCAGACTCTCTGCTGAGTGCAGAGCTCAACAGAGAGCTCTGTCTCACGACCCTGAAATCCTAACCCAAGCCAAAATCAAGAGTTGGACTCTTAACTGGCTGAGCCACCTAGGCACCCCTATCATAACTTTTAGAAATCGGGGGGCGGGGGGAAGGAATTATGTTTGTGCTCATTAGTAGACCTTCATGATGCCAGAGATCCAGAAGTGAATAAAACATAGTGTTCGGCTCGGGAGATGAAACCCATGCATGTTACTCTAGTTATGTGGCCTGGACAGAGAAGTGTGTCCCAAATAAGAATTCACTGTCTATTTTGAGTTACACGGAATGGATTTGAAATGTTAAACAACTGTGTCTTCAGTGACTCTTTGCATCAGGGAATGACAGGGTGATTTATAATACCTGATGGCCTTGATAGCCCATCAGGTGATACTGTGTTATTATTTTACATTATGGGGCTATGATATTCCGGAAGGATTTGATGAAATTTTTTTAAAGACTTTATTTATTTGACATAGAGATGAGAGCACAAGTAGGGGGAGGGGCAGGCAAGCAGGAGAGGGAGAAGCAGGCTCCCGCGAAGCAAGGAGCCTGATGTGGGACTCGATCCCAGGACCCTGGGATCATGACCTGAGCCGAAGACAGCCGCTTAACCGACTGAGCCACCCAGGTGTCCCGGATTTGATGAATTTTTAATATCCCAACGTATTATTTGATGTTTCCTAAAACATATGCAAACAGCTTTATCATAATTGCTATTAAGACTATATGGTGTTCATGTAATGATGATAACAGCCAACTTCCACTTATTGAATGCTTATTGGGCACCAGACATCATGTTGAGAATTTTATTTTCACAGCAGCTCTGTGAGGTAATTGCCACAATTGTCCCCATTTTTCAGATAAGGGCACTCAATAGAGAGACTGTCATTTCCCCAATTAACAGCTGGGAATTGAACCTAGGTATCTTTGATTTCAGATCCAAAGCTCTACAACTTTTTCAGAAGTAAAAACGTAAAGAAATTAAACCATATACATTCTTTCGCACTTTTTTACCGCCACAGTTTATAATAGAATTTAGTGCTGCCTTGTATTTGAAGCAAGATCCTGAATCCGGAAAATCCCTTTAGGTGCTAGGAAGTGTTGTGACAAGGTAGTCTTACTAGTCTCACTACAGCATTGTTAATGGGGGGTCTGAATCTGCCATTTGAGAATTCCCTCACTTAAATAAAGCCTCTTGTCACATTAACTTGCCAAGATACATTACATTAATTCTCTTTATTGAATATTTTCTAGGAAGAAATGGTTTGGTATGAAATTACAATTTTTTACAACTGGAGGAGGCTTCCGCCTCTTCCCCACTGTTAACTTTGCCCCTCCTACGTTCTCCCCAGCCCCACTGGCCCCGCTTACCCAGCAGGTGATTCGAGAGAGACTACACAGGGGCACTCCCTTACCTTTCCGTCCCTCACAAGTAAGCTCCCCTGCATCCTCAGTCCTGGGTGCTGGCCTTCTTTCTCCACCCTGCCCATCTCAGCACAGTACCTGGGGCACTTGCTAAACCCCATACAGGTGTCCCCCACACACACCCTTTTCAAAAGTTCTCATGAAGCCACTTTTGCTTTTAGGGAAAACCTGTATCAGTACCTATCTTGCTGACCGAAAGAAATCCAAAGAGGATTTTTGCTTTTATGAAAGAAGGTAAAAAGCAAAAATAGCATTTGGTCGTTTGTGTGGCAGCAGCACCCTGCACAGAGAGGATGGCCCGCCGAGCCCCTGTCCCAGGAACCGCAGTCAGCGTCCCTTGGTCTGTGAGCACCTACGCTTTGTCTCTGTTTATTCTCTGCATCTGTTAGCAAGATGTGTGCTAAAGTATCAGAAAAGCCGAAGAGAGGGGCACCTGGGTGCTCAGTCAGTTGATTGTCCAACTCTTGGTTTCAGCTCAGGTCATGACCTCAGGGTCATGGGATCAAGCCATGTCAGGCCCCATGCTCAGCGAGGAGGAGTCTGTTTGAGATTCTTTCCCTCTCCCTCTGCCCCTCTCCCCGGAAACCTGTAATTGTTGATCACACGAGTGAAACAAACATTTGCCTGAGGAAAACTGCGCTCTTTTCCCATAGAAATGTCATACCATACTGCTCTCGTGCTTGTGCTTCAGATGCAGTGTAGTTTCAGGTCTTTATAGGCCTTCTGAGGTACTGAAAGCCATGTGTTTCAGTGAATTGTCTTTTTCCACATAAACATATATCCAAGCAACTAAGCAGTCCACACACTTTAGAAATAAAACCATATATCAAGGGGCACCTGGGTGGCTCAGTTGGTTAAACATCTGACCCTTGATCTCAGCACAGGTCTTGCTCTCAGGGATGCGAGTTCAAGCCCTGCATTGGGCTCCACACTGGGCGTGGAGCTTACTGCAAAACAAAAACAAAAACAAAACCCATATTTTGAGGTTGCTTGTGTTTTCAAAGTACTTAGGTTAGTGTGCCACTAGAACACAAGTCCTTTGGGGGGTTAGACTATTTTTGTTATCCTGCGGTGTCTTTTGGGCCCAGGTCAGCGCAGGCCCTGGCACCCCGTAGGTGCTCAGAAAGTAACGAGTGAGTGAGTGTGGCCGTGCTGCTTGAAGTACAGGGACGGGAAAGCTCAGGAGGGAAGCATCGGTATTTCTCCTTCAGATCATTGCAGTGGTAGCAGTAAGCCAGATCACTATCGTAGATGGAACTTTAACATTTTCAGACTTAAGTGCTTTGCTTTTTCTTAAGGATTCTGTGATTTGGGAGTAGGAAGGAATGGCCTGCAATTTACAAAATGGTTAATTTTGTTTTTTGGAACTTAGTCCCTAAGGTGCAATGCCTAGCTTTTTATCAAGAACTATGAAGTATGAAAACGAAGGTAGGATTGCTTACTCAGCATTTGGTCCCTCTGTCCTCTTGAGTATTATTTCCTTATACGCGTTACTGACATAGGGCAATTAAGCACTATTAACTTTGTAATAAGATACGCGCCCCTTTACCTTATATCTGTTTGCCAAGGAAAAAGGTGAATTCTGACACTATACTGGGATTCCCTAAAACTTGAATTTTATTACGAATACAGATTTCTACCTAGTCCCTAGCATGTCTTCAGTTTGTTGGTTCCTTATTTTCAGACTCCATCCATCCCTGCTTCTGCAAACTGTTTTGGTTGATGGGAAAGAAGTTTGGTTACTCTGGTTTGCAAGAGATTTCTTTCATTGGGTGGTTTGATCTGTTTTTTCAGTCTACTCCATCTGGACACAAACATCTGACAGTGGAAGAATTATTTGGAACCTTTTTGCCAAAGGAACAGCCAACTGTTGTGGGTCTGGATTCAGAAGAAGTGGAGAAGCTGCCAGGAGATGCCTCCCAGAAAGAGTCCAGCTCATTCCTACCATTTTCCTTCGAGCAGTCAGGAGGAGCCCCTCAGTCGGAAAACCTGGGTGTCCATCCTGCTGCCCACCACTCAGTCCCACCTGAAGCCCCCACCCCGGTGCTGATCACTCCTGCCTCCATCACACAGTCCGGTGACAAACAGGCCCCAGGCTATGCCATCCCACTGCGCCCTGTGCTCAGTCCCACTCTACCAGCAGAAGCTCCTACAGCACAGGTTGCCCCCAGCTTACCCCGAAACCCCACCATGATGCAGGCGGTGAAGACCACGCCAAGACAGAGGTCTCCGCTGCTGAGCCAGCCAGTCCCTGAGCTGAGCCACGCCAATCTGACTGCCACCCAGAGCCCCTTCAGGGCCCCCCTGAGCGTGACAAACACAGCTGGTACATCCCTCCCAAGCGTGGATCTTCTCCAGAAACTCAGGTTGACCCCACAGCATGACCAAATACAGACACAGTCACTTGGGAAAGGTGCCGTGGCACCCAGCTTTTCCCCAGCAGCTGGCCAGCTGGCCACGCCCGAGAGCTTCATAGAGCCCCCCTCTAAGACCGCAGCAGCTCGAGCCTCAGCATCCCTGAGCAACATGGTGCTTGCTCCCCTTCAGGTACTGGCAGGAGGCTGGGTGGCTCTAACTGGGTGGGGTGAAGCTTCAGAGGCCTTGATGGTGACTGCCAGGAGGCAGTCCCTTCAAAGGGACAGCTGTTAGGCACATCCAGGGCCAGAAGACAGGAAGTAAGAAGCCCTGTAGTGAACAGCCAGATCATTGGTACGTGGTGTTGTTACTCAGTTCCACTGCCCCAGGTATCTCAACTGGATACAAGCCAAGAAACAATACCAGTATTTTCCTATCAGGGCATGCATTGTAGGGGTTTTTGTTTGTTTCTGCCTGACAAGTCCAGGAGTCCTCATTTGACCAGGACCACAGATCCACATTATCCCCAGCTTTGTCCCATCCCCAGCTCCCTTGGGGCCCACCTTGGGCCAGGCACACTTGGGGTACCGTAAGAGCATCCCAGATTTGGAGATATGGGTCAAGTAAAGCTTCCTGGTGGATCTCGTGTTCAGCTGAGATCTGAAGACTCGGCAGAAGTTAGCCAGACCTTTCCTAGAGGTAGAGAAAAGTGTTTGAGACAAGGAAAGTACTGTGTGCAGAGGCCTGGAGATGAGTGGCATTTGCTAAACGTAAAGACCTGTAGTGTGGCTAGATCTCCTGTGGAAGGTGCTTGGAGGCAAAGGTACTGGCCAATGAGCAGGGCTTTGAAAACTATGTGAAGGAGTCTGAGGCTTGTTCTCAGAGTCCTGGGGCGGCGGTGGGGGGTCGGGGGAGGGCGCGCGGTGCTTGTCTTTTAAGGGCTTTGAGCTGAGGTGGTGAGCAGGGCAAGGAGAAAATGGAAGCAGGATCACCCTCAGGAAGGAGGCCAGGCAGTTACCCATTCTTGAGCTGGTGGGGGCCTGACTTTGGGAGTATGGACAAGTGGGTTTGTTAACAAGTGCGAGCGGTGGGACCTACTGGTCAATTGGGGGTGAGGCGTGAAGAAGAGGCTTGTCCCTCAGTGATGGATGAGGCTGGCAAGTTTACAGATGAGTCAGCTCAGATTGCAATGATGTTTGCAAGATCACACAGCTGATCACAACAACAGTGTTGTTTGCCTTCCAGGATTTCAGCCCCATGCCGTTTGATAATAATCCGCAATCTTAACATTTCACCAAATAATATCGTACAGAAGAGTCCATCATAATAATTGTATGTGATTTCATAATTAATGGACAGTTTTCTGTTCCTTTAAAGTTCTGTACAGAAAGACAGAAAACTTAGTATTTTGGTTATATCATGAAATTGTCATTTGGGGCCATTTCTGTTGAGGTTTTCTGCAGTATAAGGAGAGAGAAGGTTCTAACAGATGAGTATCACACCCCAGCCAGCAGTCTGAACTTCCCCAGCGCCGCCCTCTGCTCTCCACTGTGCCTCCTTCCAGGGGACACTTATGTACATGTGCATTTTTATTTACATTCCATTTCCTTTAGGATTTGGGGCTTCACTGAATTTTAAATGAAATATATTTGCTCCACAACAAGAAGTTCTTTGTCTCCCAATGAATAAGGACAAAATTTAGCATGTGGAGGTGTGAGCCTAGATGAAGATAGTTTAGCGCTACCTGTCCGGAGTTCACACCACCTTATTGAGGTGTCGTGCTGCCAGGATATGGCATCTCTACAGATTCAACAGCAAAACTGTGTGTGGCTATCCCTGCTCTATCCTTAGAGATGCCTTAAAGGTTCTGCACACAGCCCTGTTCTTGGGGAGACTGAGGGGGTCGGAGGCTGTCCCAGGGCCTTCACCCTGCAGTTGAGGCAGAACTAGTTAGTGTCTAAACTATTCCTTACTGCTAAAGTGGATTTACCCTGGTAGCTAGGAAATCTTCACTGAAACTTGCTAGGTCTGTTCATCTTTCCTTTTTAAACATTGCAGTCTATGCAGCAAAACCAGGATCCTGAAGTCTTTGCCCAGCCTAAGGTGTTATCCAGTGCCATCCCGGTAAGGACTCCCTTTTTCTGAAGAACACATTCTCTTCACACCGCTGGGTGTGAAGTAAAACATTGTCGCTTGAGTGGAAAGTTGGAGCTTCCAAGCCCAGAGCCCTCGCAGATGCCCCTCCTAGGCCAGGCTGCCTGCTCCCCCGGCAGAGTTCGTTGCTGCGGCCCCTGTGGGCTTCCGGTCATCCTCTCTGGAACAACGCCTTCCCTGACTGTACCGAGGGCTGGGTGCTCGCTCAGTGTTTGTCAGCTGAGAGCGTGTCAGCCTGGTTTCCGTGAGGAGGAAATACTCTTTGCCCTGCAAGAGCTGTGATGCCTGGTTAAGAATCACTGCGGTGCTCGGGCTCCGGGCCTGCCCTCTGCTCCTTGCTTGTTCTCCCCGGCCTCACTTTTTTCAGAGTTGTCCCCACCCTCCATTACCTACCAGCCTTGAAGTGCACACTTATTTTTTTCAGTTCCTGAACTTTGACCTGCCCATTTACCTTTGAGCCTTCATGCCTCTCCTCAAGTCTCAGACTGAGCCTGCAGCCATCTCTCACCTGGTGGTGGTAACTGGTCTCCCCTGTAGCTCAGCCTGGCACGGCGCCAGCACCAAAAGCCGACTGGAAGGCTCAGACCCCAGAAGCCACAGCCTCAACGCCGTGGCTGTTTGTAAATGAAGAGGGTGGCAGGAGAAAGAAACCAAGATGTCTGTTGATTGTATCAAATGTGGGAATTATTAAAAATGCTAATATTTCTGGTTTCGTGTAGTCTGATGGTTAGCCGTTGTTAGCGGAGAAGCACAACTCAGTGGGGGAAGGAGGTAGGTGTTAGTTCTATTTGTAAGAAGTTGTGCCTTTGATACCTGTAGTGGTATAATAAATATGTTGAACACTACAAAAGAAACTAATGCTTCATGTGACTGGATTTGTTAATTCTTTTAAGATTTTATTTATTTGAGAGAGAGTGGGGGTGGGGTGGGGGCAGAGGGAGAAGGAGAGAGAATCCCAAGCAGACTCTGTGCTGAGTGTGGAGCCTGAGACAGGGTTCCATCTCACGACCCCAAAATCATGACCTGAGCCAAAACCAAGAGTTGGATGTGTAAAAGACTGAGCCACTCAGGCACCCCTTCTCTTTTTTTTTTTTAAGTAAAATTTTATTGAAGTGAAATAAATAGAATAAAATGTAGGTGTTTCATGAGTTTTAACATACATAACATCCCTTGGGTAACAGTCAAGATATGTAACATTTCTGTCACCCCAGAAAGTTCCCTCGTGCCCTCTTCCAGTCATTTCCCTGCTCTCCATATAAAACTTTACATTTTTAATTTATCATAGGATTGTTCTTATTGTGTATACCCTGCTGTGATACTTCCTTTCTGTGATGACCAGACTTGGCTTCCCAATAAATGGGCCCTTCATCCTTTAGCTAACAAGCTTCATTCATGACCATTGTTCCCCTGCAGGTCGCAGGCCCCACACTGGTTACTGCAACAACCATGGCAGTGTCTTCAGTCCTGTTGTCCCCAAGTGTTTTCCAGCAGACAGTTACAAGATCCACAGACCTCGAGAGGAAAGCAAGCGCCCCTTCTCCACTGACTGTTGGAACATCAGAAAATCAGAGAAAGCCTTCCATTATTCTCAGCAAGTCTCAGCTCCAGGATACATTAATACATCTAATAAAGGTATGCAGGCCATCCCAGCAGTTGAGTCTATAAACTTTTGTTCTTTAATTTTAAGGAACGTATGAGTTCTTAGAAAATCAGTTCATAAAGTGAATTCAAGACTAGCCGGGACTAATGTTTCTCTCTTTCTGAGCATACACTCCCAATGGAAAAGTCTCTGAGTGAATTCCAAAGTATTGATTGCAGTTGTCTCTGGGTGGTGGGATTCTTTGGCTAATTAGTTACACAGATCACTTATACAGCTTTTTTCCTAAGCTTTTGTCAAGGAAGTAAGTTCTACTGAGGTAAATGAAACATTACCATCTCTTCCAGAATGATTCCAGCTTCCTCAGTACACTTCACGAAGTCTACTTGCAGGTTCTGACCAAGAACAAAGACAACCACAACTTATGACTGGAGCAGAATAAATCCGAAGGCAGAATGTCGACCTCAGAAACAAATAGGCCTCATCATGGAAACTTCTAAACAGAACATTGAGTTTTGAGAATCCTGAAATTGAGCCTATGAGAAATAGACTCATTCCTTAAGAATGTTTTCCAAGTGACGTTCTCAGTGATAATGGAGGTTTCACTGTGAAGCATCACCAGCAGACCTTTGTTTTGACAAGAAAAAAAAAAAAAAAAACCATTGTGTTAAGTTGTGTGGGTGTTTTCATCAGCTCTAAGAAAGGATGTGAAATAAGGAGTCTGGTTTTCAGCTTGCTTTCACCCTCAAGGTCTTAGGGAGGAGAGGTCACCAGCCTTGCAGCAGAGTTCAGCCCAGCCCGCAACCCTTCCCTTGCTCCTCCCTCCTAGAAATTTGAGCCTTAGGCTGATAGTCAAGTTCTGAACAGAGCAGAAGTCAGCTCTGTGCAAAGTAGCTTTGAGTTTTAAGGATCAGAGTTTAAGTTGGCAAATTAGGACTGATTTGTTCAAGTGAGGTGTATTTTTATGAATGCCCCATTTGGGCCTTAAGAGATCTGAAATTTCTCAGTTGTGTCTTGTTCTTAAGTGTCCCCAGTGCTGCCCCGCAGCAGGCTCCCAGGGCAGTGGTACCATGTGACTAGGGCCCCGCCAGGCTCTGTGATGGTATGGGAGGAGCATCTTTGAAGCAAAGGCTGGGGCTGGTGAAGACTGAATTCCATCAGAAACCTTCACTTTAAGTTAAACTCTTGAGTGGTTTTGAAAATGTTTTGTGTGAAGTATAGCCTTACTTTCCTTTTCTGTCTAAACACAGAAGTCCTTGTTGATTGTTTTCCTTAACACTTTGACAAAAGGACCGGTGGACCAATCTAACAAAGCCATTCTGGTTCCATTCCTCGAGTCTACTGAGAGTAGTTTTAAAGCTATGCAGAAAAGGGAGCTGTTATTCACACTGCCCTTACTTTATTATAGAATATGGAGTTTAAAACAAAGTGTGAAAATCAGAACTTTACCAATGTATTCCTAGGCTGTGAGTACTTTTGCAGCCCAAAGTGTGAAAATATGTAAAGATGCTTTGTTATGCTGCTATTGACCTGCCATGATTTATATTTATTCTTTTATGGCATGTAATGGTGATTAGTAATATTTTAATGTAGATTTTGATTTATTTCAGCAATAGTAATTTTAAGATACTCTTTGAATGAAAGTGTCTTCGTTTCTATGATACAGATCATTTTGTAGTATTTAACCAATTAAGATGCACTGCTTACTTTTCTGAGCACTATTTAATGATGGGGTAAAAACCCAGTTGGCTCAACCAGCTAGCATAAGGATTAGCTGTGAATAATGCTGATGGATGTGGTGGTTCCTCGGGAACAATCATTTAAGCTTTAATGGTAACTCAATCATAAATCCATAGATTTTTTTTTTTCTAGCTGAGATTTTAGAAAATTACTTGTGAATTACATGCTTGTTTTAGTTTGGCCTTAGTTTTTTTTAGCATAAAGAATACTTTGATTGGCTTTTGTTAATCTAAACATGCTTCCTGGGCAGTTTTCTCTTGCTGTCTATGTAGTTATTTGTGAATTGTGCAGCAGTCAGGGAAGCTTATAAGTTCTCATACTTGATGGGGAAGAGTTTGTTTTCAAAGGTAGTGTGTAAATCCAGCAACCAAAAATGAATTGCTCGTACATCACCCAGGAAGGAGAATGTTGAAGTAAGATCCAGAGTGTTGCTTACACCAGGAGATGGTGTTGGGGGAGCCACGTGACTGTTCTCAGAAAACAGGTTTGATCGCACCCCCAGTGTTGTTTCGGTGGGCTTTGGTACATGGAAGAATCAAGGGATTCTTGTTGTAATAGACATTTGACTTGAAATGATTTGAGTATGTGTAATATTATGAGAGAGTTAAGAGAGAATATCCTAAAGAGGGTCTGTAATCAAATCTGTTAATTTTCGCCCTTTCATCCAAGGAATGAATATGATAGACAGGAAAGAGAATCTATGATAAGTTTTCTTTAGTGGGAAAATAAACTTTGAAGTGCCCAAGTCATGGAGACTTGAAAAGGGTCAACCTGTTTCAACTCCCAAATTTATGTATTCAAGGGATTTACTTAAAATTCAGAAGCCAGAAGTTCACCATCATGATTTCCAGGAGGTTTGGGCCAGAATGAGTCCCTGAAAAGTCAGGCCAAGCCTGACTCGTCGCAGTCGGATGACCCTGGCCCGAAAATCACAGTTCAGTTGCCTTATTCCTCGGTCAGACTTCCTATCCAGAACCTCACGCTAGCTTAGGTTGCATGTGTCCATAGCTGCCATGACTTTTACTGGAACCTTTGTTTCAATCTTAGTTAAATCAAAGTGGACACCAAGACGCAGATGGTTCTTGCCAGGTTTTGCAGTTAGACCACCGTGTGTGTCCGTGGGCCCACCCCCAACCGCAGTGGGTAGCACTGCTCTTTTGTTGTAGTTAACGTGACGTCTTTGGATAGACTCCCGCACCTCCCAGACAGCCTTGTTCCTGCAGGAACAAGGGCATTCTTCCAGAGATTTGTAAAGTGGGACTTTGAATCCTTAAGTTTTCAAGCGACTGTCAGTGTTAGAAGAAGCATTTCATACTGTGTGCATGGGAGTGTCCTCAGCTCACCGTGCGAGCCTTTGGGGTGGCCATCACAGAGTGGGGTTTTTCAAAGAGCCCAAATTGATGGATCCTTCTCTGCTGAAGGCCACACAGGCCTCATTTAGAATGTGTCTGGCCCGGGCGCCTGGGTGGCTCAGTTGGTTGGGCAACTGCCTTCGGCTCAGGTCATGATCCTGGAGTCCCGGGATCGAGTCCCGCATCGGGCTCCCTCCTTGGCAGGGAGTCTGCTTCTCCCTCTGACCCTCCCCCGTCTCATGTGCTCTCTCTCTCTCATTCTGTCTCAAATAAATAAAATCTTTAAAAAAAAAAAAAAAAAAAAAAAAAAGAATGTGTCTGGCCCAATTTTGCATGTCAAGCATCTGTTCTTTTTCTGCCTAGCTTTCCTTGTAAAAATCGGAAACCCTATCGAATCCTATACTAGGTAATATGTTTAAACCATGCAGCTTTATTTCTCTCCCCACCCCTCCTCCAAGAATGTAGTTTGAAGTTTTCTCATTCGGGTAGTAGAGGCCATAACCGCCATTGTGTTAACTAATAATGCAACATGAATTTGAAGGTGCCTAACTGCTTAAAAAACAAAATCAGCCATCACACAGTAACTGGGCAAAACGTAGAAACAGAGGAATGAGAGGAGGCAACAGGCACAAGGGGGCCCAGTCCACGGGAGTGAGGACAAGGGATCACAGGGACAAGGGTCCTGCCTTCTTGCTGCGTATTTGCTGCTGAGCACGTGTTTCGTTCTTACCTATCTTTGGTTTTCTTCGGTTGTGTTCAAAGTACCTTCTGGAACCAATAGTGCCCTGCATTTTCAGGTGTGTAAAATGTTAAGATCTAAATCAAGGAAGGCAACTTACACTGGGCTTTTTAAAAGCTGTGTTTGAGAACATTTCCCTGAGTGGGCCGGGGCCTCAAGGAGCCTGTTTTCCAGCAAATTCAGCAGGAGAGAGGTGTGCAATGTTTCACTCGGTTTTCTATTTGACATCTTCATTTGAAATGCTAAGATGCAATATCGTTCACTTTGAATGGGGAAAATGCAAAATTGTGTTTCCCTTTTATCTGTGTGATTCCTTAAGAAACGTGTTTTTACAGTATGTGTTCTCAGTGGTTTTTTATTCTGTATTACTGCTTTGGCCGTGCGGCTCTCATGACTTTCAGCGTACTGGATTCTCAGCTCCCTGAAGTGTGGGGCTGAGAAGCTCTGGAATTACCGCAAGATTTTTGTTCCATGAGCGCAATACTGCATCATTAACATTTTTAATGGTATGGATTTTATACCATCTGTGTATGTTTGCAAATATTAAGTTATTACATGTTTTCAAATGAGCATTTTTCATCCTAAATTTTATATGTTTGCAAATATATTTTTTTAATAAAAGTTCAAAACCAAGTTTTAGCACCTACTAAATTTTAATTGTGTTTTTATTTAATTTAGAGAAACGGAACTTCTAAATGCGTAGCTGCGCTTTGCCGGAACTTCTAAATGCGTAGCTGCGCTTTGCCAGAACTTCACACTGGTGAGATGGGGTGAAGTGAGAGAACAAAGCTGCTGGAGAAGGCCCTTATCTGCCTGTTTCCAGCCTGGGCCTGGGCCACAGGCCACACAGATTCCTGGGTCTGAAGCCCCTGAGGCCTGGCGTCTGTGAATGACTGAGCACTTCCTTCCCTGGTAGCTAAACATCGAGTGTGTAACTGCTGTGAGTGGACAGCTAAAGAGCTTCATTGACTCTTCTGTGGTTTCCCCAGACAGACGGTGCACGTCTAATCATGGCCAAAAACACTGTTCTGTAGGAGACTACAGTCTGGGCCAGTTCCCACAGTCTCGCAATTCATGTGTATCGGGCTATCACGGGCCAGGCATCTAGGATGACAAGGAAGAAAAGAAAGAGGGAGGAAACTAAAATCTGATCATTATGGGAAATAGAGAAAAGTTTCAAGGGGAGAAAAATGGTTAATCATCTCTCTCCCTAACAACTGTTGACATGTTAGTAATCCAAACAAAATTCGACATGTTTGTTATATCTGCCTGCTTCCTTAGGGCAGAGCTTAAACTAACCCAGGCTTTAGGACAGTCATCATTACAGCTGCATGCTCATTCAGTACTTGAAGGGTTGCTGTCCCATTACTTTTTTGATCTTTGCAGCAAGCCATTTTAGGGAGAAGGCAGTTGAAGCGGAGAGTGACTGAGGTCTGTGCCAAAGGTTGCTTCTTAAGCCAGCGTGGGGTCACAGACCTGAAGCCAAGCAGGCCAGAGAGCTGGTCTAGAATTCCGTTCTTGATTCTGCTGTCTCCATGATGGATGGTCCTGGATTGCTTTTTCGTAGTTTCTTAGGTTACCACTGTTTATTAAAAGCTAGCAGGGTCTGCTCACCTGCTGGTTTGCGTGTGCCGGCACCTGAGAAACCAGGTAAGTGGGTTCATTGGAATTTCATGGAGAATGAAAGTCAGTGGGTCCTGAATAAGAGCTGTAGCCGATGGGCTTTAGGTTTCTCGGTTGTCTCTAACGACATTTTCACTCACTGTTTATGGAACCTCGTTCTGTAGATCCTGGTTCCATCTCAAGGATCGGGTCGCTAAAAACCCGATCTTTGAGAAAGGCTTGTGTGAATAAGCATCCTGAGGCTTCCAGGAAGCAGTTTGTCTCGGAGAGCTCTCTGGAACCAGCCCGAGGAGGAGAAGCTAGAAATCCAGCAGCTGTGCTGTCCCTGCAAGGGAAGCCCACCTTTCCATGAAGCCGGGTCCTTGGAGGGCGGAAGGGAAGGGCCGCGAAGGACTGGCTCACGCCCTGAAGCTCACCCTCCCTGTCACCTTTCAGACAGTGCCTCCTGGGCTGTCTATTACAGGCAATGTGAGGAGGCCTGGCAGGTTCCAAGATCCCCGACCTCTTCGAGCTTGCGAGACAGGGTTAGGCGAGAGGGCAGTTGCCAGGCTCTCTCAGCCCGGGCCTGCGGTGAACCTGGGCCGGCCACACACCAGCGCCGGCCAGCCCTCCGCGGCTCTGGGTTCGCCAGGCGACATCAGCTGGCAGCTCCCTGTAAGGGCTCCTGCAGCCGCAGAGGTGGAATGGGCTCAAAGGAGCCGACACGAAGTCAGCGTGACAGGCCTCAAGCTCGAGCGGCGTCTCTCTGGGACTCCACGAGTGTGTCCCTGCCGTGTGCTCTGTCCGCACACGTGAGCCTCTCCCCAGCCCAAGCGCCGCAGCTGGGTCAGAGCGCAGCCCCACGGTGACCCCGGGGACTCCCTGTCGCCCCGGGCAGGGGGTGTGGTGACCCTGACGTCAGTCCATCGCTCTGAAACAGGCGCCAGAAGGCAGAGCCCAGAAGGCAGCCGCAGTGCACAGGAACTGTTTTCCTACCTGGTCTCTGTCATTCCAGAAAAATGAGTGGCGCTGCCCGGGCCCTGGCAAAGCCCGGGAAGGCGCCCTGGCTTCCGAAACAGGTGCAAAACCTGTACCCCAAAACATCTTCCTACCCAAGCCGTGCTTTGTTCTGGTGTCTCTGAGGTGTCCCTGCCCCCAGAGACTGTCCCCCGCCAGGCCTCCCCCAGGCAGGGCTCGCCCCCTGAGCAGAGCTCCCTGACAGCCTCTCTGTCCTACTGGCCCCGACTCGTGAGAGACCTCCAGATGGAGGTCGGACCCCCCGCCCCCCGCAGCGGGCCTCTGGGGGGGGAGGAGTCAGCAGCGGTGGGCGGCCGTCGCCCCCCTTTAATGTGTGTCTGCCCCAGGGCCTCCACCTCAGCAGGCAGCTCGCCCCGTTTTTCAACAAATATTTTGTAACTCCTTGACTCTCCTGACCTGGAATTCACAGAGAATGTGACCTCGGCCCGCACACACAATTTTTAAAAATATCCTAATTGTGGGGCGCCTGGGTGCCTCGGTCGTTAAGCATCTGCCTTTGGCTCAGGTCATGGTCCCAGGGTCCTGGGATCGAGCCCGCATCGGGCTCCCTGCTCAGTGGGAAGCCTGCGTCTCCCTCTCCCACTCCCCCTGCTTGTGTTCCCTCTCTAGTCGTGTCTCTCTCTGTCAAATAAATAAAATCTTTATTAAAAAAATCCTAATTGTGATAGAAAGGAGGAATCTTAATTTGCAATGAAATGCTCCCTATTAAATATGTAAATGTTTGGGCACAACGACACAAATCCTCAAAGTTTGTAGAGAAGCCCGGGCTTCACTCTGACGCTTCGCCCCGCCGCACCCCCCTCTGAACGATGGGCATTGGTGGTTCAGTGGTAGAATTCTTGCCTGCCACTCTGAACGATGGCCGCCCTCCCACAAAGGGAGAGCAAAGGGCCTGTCCAGGGCCCGGCACGCCAGGAGCCAGCCTCCTCCACCCCTCCATCCCCCGCAGTGCCCTGACTCACTGTGCTTCTGCCCAAGAAGAGGCCGGAGAGCCGTCTCTCTTCCAGCTGGAGAGAGCGAGGTCATTGATGAGCAGCCCCCACTGCCCCCCAGGACTCAGCGGTCCTTAAATGATGGGTCGGTGCCTGGCTGGTGCTCTCCCAATCAAGCAGCATCTCCCTCCCAGGGACGGGAGTCGGAAACTTGGGAGGAGAGACATTGACGCTACTCGTTAGTCCTCATCTGACCTGGGGGGGCGGGGGCATCGCCTGTGCGTCCCAGACGCCGTGCTTGACACACACACGTGTAGTGCGCACCCCACGCATGTCTGTGCCCTTACACTGTGCTCCCCGGGAGCTGGGACTGCTCGAGCCCCTCTGTGCCCATGTCCCTCTTTGTGGGATAAAGTGAACTGTACCCTAGGACCACCTGGGAGATACAGGCTGTTACCTTATTTGTCAGACGAGGGAACTGGTGATTGAGGAATGTGCCTCAGGGAATCCGCCCAAGTTCACCCAGATAGAGGGCAGCAGAAGCAAGAGCTGAACTGGGCTTGTTCATGCCACCTCCCTCCGGGTTTGAGGTTTGTGGAGAGAGCCTGTGGGTTCCTGGAGCATTCCGAAGAGCGTTTTGAAATGACAGTAGCATTGCTCCCCCTGACGGGGCCGTGAATAGGTTAAAGGACTGCTTCACCTATGGTGATTATTGCCAGTTACCCTCACAGACGTGGCTCTCAGAGGGCTTTCTCAGCTCTAGGCCAGAAGGGGACAGGGGAGGCTCAGAGGCACCTCGTCGGGACACTGCCCGAGCCGAGCGGGGAAACTGAGGTCCAGGGCAGGAGGCAGGTGTAGACCCGGCCTGCTTTTCCCCTTCACAGCCATTGCTGCTTTCCAGTTCAGTGTTTTAGAATTTGAAATGGGTTTATTGTGGGAAGGAAGGAAGGAAGAGAGGGAGGGAGGGAGGGAGGGAGGGAAGGAGGGAGGGAGGAAGGAAGGAAGGAAGAAAGAGAAAAGAAACAAAAGAAAACAGGCCCAAAACAGAGTTACTTGTTTAGAACAAGCCCCAAGTCAGCAAACCAGGATTTAGTACCCAACCTACCTGCAGATTTAGCTTCTCCCAGGAGTGGAATTTTAAACCAATCAGTCTGGAATTTCCTGAGCAACACTAGTGAAGTAATCTTCATGAGAGACCCGGCCCTTCCCCCAAAGGAAGGTGACCTTGCCTGAAATAATCCTTTGTTTTGTTAGTGACCTTCTTGTCCCTGCCCATTTCTGCCTATAAAAGCCTTCCACTTTGTACCTCTCCTCAGAGCACCTTCTACTTGCTAGGTGGGTTGCTGCCCCATCCATAACTCATTGAATAAAACCAGTTAGGTCTTCAAATGTACTCCATTGAATTCTGCTGTTTGTTTGTTTTTTAAACAGATTTGGTGGCAACAGTGGGATCTGGAGTGTGCTTCCATCGGCATTTGGGGCATGAGAAACACAAACCCCATTGTGCATTCTTGGTCTTTCTTGCCGTTTCCGAGGGCCGTGGGTAAGTTCCTCTTGGTCCTGAGCTCTGCTCTCTTCGCGTTGAGCACTTGATCTAACTGGCTTTCCAGTACAGAGCAGGTCAGCTGGAACTGCAGACGGTTCTGCCTGGAACCAAACCCCTAGCCTTTCAGACCCAAACTCCCAGGTTTCTGAGTGGAAGAATCCCAGGTGGTAGTTCTGTCCAAAGATCCACACAGGAACTATTTCACCCATCCATGCACAGCTCCTGACCCATCATCCCCTGTTGTTGGGGTCTGCTGGTTCAAGGTGACATAACTCCTACTGTTCCCCTCTGTCCTCCTTTGAGTGCTCAGTCTAGTAATCCTCTTTCTGAAGGGCCTTTCCACTCCAAAGAGTCTATTCAACAGTTATCTTCTGAAATTAGACCACCTGATGCTACAGGCGATGCTCTGAGGCATCTTTCACTCCTCAAAGGCCAACCTAAGGGCCATAGTTACGTTGTCCCTTCCTTTCCAGATCCAGGCCACTGGTTATTGATCTTGGGGAGTGACTCTAGAG